ATACCACCATCACTTAGTGAACGACGATTTAGTTCATGGATAGGTGGATCAATTCTTGCTTCATTAGGTTCATTTCATCAAATGTGGATTTCAAAACAAGAATATGATGAAAGTGGAAAATTTATTATTGATAGAAAATGTCCTTAAATATCTTTTCTCTCTTCTATGTTTTTTTTTTGTTTTTTTTTTGTATAGTTCATTTTTTTTTGTTTCGTACTTGTGTTGTATTTCATCTCTAAGACAATAGATATTCTATGTTCTATAAACAAGTTTAACTTGATCAAATAAACGACTGTATTTCTTTTTTCTTACAATTTTTCTCAAGATTGTTCGTATAATTTCGTAATAAAACAGTCGAAGATAAAGAAAAACATCGAAGTGTGACAAAGAAACCGACATTTTGTATAGTATATATTTTTGTTGTTTCTATTCATTTTTGAGTCATAACAAACGTTTATGCCACATTAGTAAGATGAAACCATTTGAAGAGCAAAATCTCGATTATGTTTATATAAGTATTACCTTATTATGTGAAACAACGTATATATATATATCTGAACTAGGCAAGTGCAAACTTTTCCAACAGCCGGTGTGAGTGTGGGTGTGGATAGTATGAGAAGGTATAAACTCATATTGTTCATAAATTGGCAGCACAGGTTCAAGAAGATATCAGCTAGCTCCATTGAATTAAATCTAAAATCTCTTTTCTTTTGTTGTTACCCATTCACTTAGTTATTGATTCAGTTACGAATCTTATATTAACATCATAAGTTGAATTTTCTAGTAATGAACAATTAGCATTAGATAAGAGTACGAACGATTATTCAGGAAGAAGTTGAGCTCGAAAGTGTTGTAGCATATATGAAGTTCGTTTTTATTATTACAGACGTTGCTGTTGTTATGATGTAGAAACATCAAATCTGTGAAACGGCTTTTGTGATTTTGAAATGCAAGCTTATCGATGCCTTGATAGATCATAACAAAGATGACCACGTATAAAAACAAGTTCAGACGAAAGAAACAAAAGAAAAGACATTTTCATTACTATTTAATATTGGCAGTTTCTGCTTGTAAATTTCATAAATAAACTCGTCTACTCTTGTACCATCTTCATTGGCTAATTATTGTCTAAGGACACTAATTCCAAAAAGCAAGTTGCTAACAAAGTAGTTGTTCAAAGATTATCCTGAGGTCAAGATATTTGCCATAAATTCACTAACCATTAGATGTTGACACCTTACTAATGATCAACTATTTTGATATTGAAAAGGCCTAAGATAATCAGTTAATATAAAAAACATGAATGATTACAATAAAACCACGAAAAATTTTTCCAGTAAAAACAGTTTTCTGCCAGGACACCGCAATGGCCATGATAGTAACCGCGGTATTTTATATCATCGTTAGTCGTGGTTGGAAAAACTACGATGTAATGCAGTCCAAAAGCAACCGCATCGTACCGCGTTTTGAGAAAGCCTTGAAAGTCAGACTGTTTATTTAGTTTCCAGAAACCAATTTTTTTGAAAACAGCGGCGCACCGCCATTATGTATTTCTTTCAGTGCAAATATTCAAGTATGAGGAAAATGTGTAAGAACGAGAAGAATGTTGTACTCAATATTTCTATGAAAATTTCGTAAATTCAGATGATTAATCCAAGGGGGGAAAAGCTCATTCCGAGCCATTCGAATGGCTCGGAATGGATTGGAATGGATCGGAATGGATTGGAATGGATCGGAATGGCTTGGAATGGCTCGGAATGCCCGAATGAGATTTTTCCCCCTTGCTGTGGGGTCAGTACACAGTAGCAGACAGAAAGAAACAGGAAAAAGATATGCATCAGATGGCACGCTGGGCGGTCTATTACCTTACAGTCTACGACAGTTTAATGCTAAGCAAATATTTTCTTTATTCGAAAATAGGTGGTACAACATATGTACCATCATTCTCATAGGATTATTACGAAAAGATAATGAAATAATTCAATGTAATGATTCCTATATTGGGCATATATCAAGATCGAAAGACAACGTATTTTTTAAAATGACTTCAGATTAAACGTAGCTGTTTTTCTTGCTAAACACAGAAATGTTTGATTTGATGTACAATATTCAGTTCCCAACCAATATGAAATAGTGTTTCTCGATGAACAGACCACTATTCAATGTGTTTTCTTGGTTATTGAGATTAACAAGTTCATAATTAATAGATGAAATGTTATAAATTATTCAAATGATATCGATCAAATGTTTGTACTGTAAAGATATCAAAATAGTTGAGAGACGCATTATTTAATGTTTCCGAAACCGAATGGCACATAACAGAGTTGTTATATCGTATTGGAAAAGAGATTCGAGAGTAAATCAAAAGTTATTCGCGTAAAATAAACCTGAAGCATGATGTCATTCTCAAGTATAAGAAAAGCATTAATTTGACCACAAAGAGAGATTTCAGAATGCTAAACAAATAATTTTTATTTAAATTAAAAAAAACCTTGCACCATAAAGATCTAAATCATTGATCAAAACAATTATTTCATTCAAACAAATCAATTTGAACAGACAATTTTTAGAAGTCTTTTTTAAAGTTATTTCTAAAGACGAATATATACTTGACGATCTATCAATAATTTTTCACTGAATAAGAAAGGATAGAATCATCACTTATGCTTTTGAAATCTTCTCTTGGTAACTTAGAGAAACCTAAATATTTGTATTATCCAATTACAACTAAATAGAGGCTAGTTTTTCGTTGGGAATTTTGTTAAATAATGTTCGAATGGCTATGTAATACATCTATTGAAGAACACCATCCTGTTCGGATTGAGAGACCAGAATTTCGGCCCACGGAATTTTCGGCCCGGTCCGAAATTTCGGTGATTTTTTGGGCCGGGCCGAAAGTCCACAAGGAATTTCGGTCCATGACCTCATTGGCCCTAAAATAAAAAACCTAATTTTTTAAAATTAGTTGCTGAGCATTGTAGTGCTGAGCAGGACGCCATAGTGCTCAGCGATATGACGTAATCCTGGGCAGAACGTCATAGTGCTCAGTGATGTGACGTAATGCTGAGCAGAACGCCATAGTGCTCAGCGATATGACGTAGCGCTGAGCAGAACGTCATAGTGCTGAGCGGTATGGCGTAGGTGTGGGTGTGACTGTGGGTGAGGTGTGGGGTAGTGTGGGTGTTGAAGGAAGAGACATTCACACCCCATACCCTCTGCTCAGCACTACGACATACTGCTCAGCATTATGACGTTCTGCTCAGCACTATGACATATCGCTGAGCACTATGTCGTCCTGCTCAACACTACGTTATCTAGCAACTAATTTTGATAAATTAGGTTTTTTATTCTAGGATCAATGAGGTCATGGGCCGAAAGTCCACCAGGAATTTCGGCCCGGCCCGAAAATTCCATGGGCCGAAACTCATGGAACCCGTTCGGATTATGAACACTATTTTCACAATCTTGATTGCTATAATAACTTCTCTTAGACGAATACATCTGTACCTTTCTCTCTTCTTTTCATCGTTTTTGACTAATGCACTAAAACTGGTTATCATTCATTCTATTCATTGTTTATTATGTGTACATAACCACCCGCAATGATATCTCAACATCATATTACACTAAACGAAAATATTAAATTAATTAACGTATTCGAGTTAGAATTAATCTTTGTTTATATTGATTCAACGAACACAAAGCCACTGGAATAGAGAAAATTTTAAAAGAGAGCTATTTTTTCGTTTTGTAGAAACGTTTCTTTATGCAAATAAATTGTGATTAAAAGAATTTATGCTAAATACAATAACAAAAATATTTTTTCATTGTAGATTTTTTTTTCACATCTAGATCATGCGTGCCAGTGTCATGAATAATTATAGTAATGAAATGAGAAATTTTTTGTCTTTTATTGTTCACTACAACTCATGTCTTTATATTAGATTATTCAATTAGAGTTGAGAAAACGCAAGTATCAAAACCAACTAATTAGATATCACCATCAATCAAGCTGTTCAATATAACAATAATATATACTTAATGACTCATGGATTGGAAGTAAAATATGGAATAAAGGAAATCGCAGGGTGTGAATATAGATGTGGATTTTATTTTTACCCACACCTTGCAGTCTCTATTTCCTTCATGTTTTGTTTAATAATTAATATCCGAAAGGAGTAGACAATGAAATAATGACTCTGTAAAAGAATATCTAGTTTTGTTTGAATTCAGATTGGAAACAACTTACTATGTACAAAACAGAATAGTATACGAGTTTCGCTGTTTAATTATTGACTTCATATTGAACTAGTTAAAAAGACAAACGTATATAATCGTGGCATACTTTCATTTTGTGATACTTGTAATTTATCAAGGTTAAGAAGACGTCAAGTTAATACTTTGAAAAATGCTGTGATTATAAGAACTATGACGATTTATTTGATATTGAAAATATATTAATTGTATGTTGTATGTACTATATTGGAACCCTGAACTACTCTCTGGTAAAGTTGTGATTGAAGATGAAGAATTATGCAATATGTAAACAAATAAAATCATGAAGTCTATCACAATTTCGACATGACCTTCTTTTGCCCAGTTCAATATATATTGCTGGTCTTACTAGATGCATTAAGAAAGTTGTAGGTTATCAACCAGAATAGCTTAGAACTTACTATATTCAATATACGCAGTATTAACTATTATATTTTAAAAGATAGTAATATTTAAACGTATATATTTTTTTTCTAACGAGCATCATCTACTATTCAATATTACTCTGTCATATGTGAAACGTTCTATCGTATAGCATTTATGATAATTCTAAGAACAGTAAAATTTTGAGAAAATACGGAACAAAGTTTTAAAAACAAAATTATCGAACATTCTTCCTTTAATTATTATTGTATTTCGTCTATAATGAGAAAAATTAACACAGAACATGACAAAAAAAAAGTAAGAAAGTACGACAGGCATTGTATTTTTGAATCATAAAAAGTTTATAGAAGTTCAACACATTTCAATGCATCGTTCACACGCTTTTCAATAAATTTTTTGACAATCAGACGAGCTGTTTCTCGACTGATCGAATTCCAATCTGCAGTTCGCGATGCAAATGATGTTTGCATATGCTCATTGATTTGATCAGTTAACCATTGTTTGGTTTCATTGAATGTTACTAATCTACGTGCCATTCCATTCATAGTTAGTCCTTTCGGGTCAGAATAATTGGAGAAAACAAGACCAAGATAGGAGTCCGATGCTGAACGATCCATTTCATTAACAATACGATCACGTTCAATCTAATCAAGTTTTAAAGATAAACATCATTTTTGTCAAAACAACTTACTTGATAAACAATAGGAATGGAAACAATATATACATCAATGGCTTCAGTAATTCGAGCTCTGAAATCATCGTCGAGAATGTGATCTGATGAATGAATGCTTATGGTCGACTCCGATACATTAGATACTTGAGTCTTAAATGGTTCTGATATTATTAGTGTACTCTGTTCAGTTGTTTTAATTGATGGTTTTTTGCTTGAGGTACAAGCACATAATGCACCCATAATAATATGTATTCAAAGTGACTTTTTATTCTAGATTACTTCTCTACTCTAAAAGAATAAAGAGTGTTGTCTTTGATTCATATCGTTATTTTATGCGTAACTGCTTTATTTTTCTTGGATCTTATCTTATTACGTTTTTCTCTTCAACTTCATGAGCGTGAGTAATTATGGTAAAAGCAACGCATTCTATAGTCCAAATTTACATTCTTTAACATTTGCTAATACTTATGATACTATAAAAAAAATCATTATTTTCAACAATTATTTTTCCGGTAATTTTCTTTCATCGTATGTATTACATATTACCATCTAGATATTGATATAAAAATATAATATGCTCATCTATCAAAAATAATCATCGGTTGGATAATCTGAAGAAGAAGAATTAGTTTTTGAGATATGTGTTTGTCCCAAAGCATTATTGTTTATCTTTTTTACTATCATTACAGTAATTGTCTCATCTTCACTTTCGTTACAATAATAGCACTCTTGTGAAGCTTTTCTAGGTCATTGCTAATAACTTGATTAAAGCATTTCTTTAACCCACAAAACACTCGAAAATCATTAACAATCAAGTAGTTAATATTATACAATAATTTCTATACTGATATTTCTATGATTTTTTTAGGATGACACTTTTCGATTCATCAATCAATCATAACTAACAGACTTCAATGGTAGATTTATATTTTCAACAATTCTTTGAAGATGTAAATTATTTCATTGTACAGTCAAATATTCTTATTGCTTCACACAAAAAGCATTAAGATATATTGTTTTCCCGATTGAATTATATAGAAAAGATTTTTTGCTCATCGGTAACCTAGACTATCACTATTGTCTTTTTGGTTTGAATTTATTCTTGATTTTATTTTATGTGAACTGTACGAATTTGTTTATCTAATTCCTAGGTTATTGATAACGAGCACTGTACAGAAGTCATAATCGACTGTGTATGGTGTGTTTTCGCGTAGATCAGATTAAATGTGTCACTGTCAAATCAAAATGAACATGTTTATAATTTAAAGCTTTTTTTCTATAGATATGACACTAAAAACAATGCTTTTAGTTGACAGCAATTATTACTAAACATCATGCATGAGATCTAAAAAAATAAATGAAGCCATGCATGCTTGTCGAAGCATGAACAGAGAAAAACTTTTGTCTTCGATAGACTGAAAAAAGTAAAAGCATCGAAGCTTGAAAAACAATATTTGGAGATTGTGACTGAATTGCAGCGCTCCTTCCATGTATAGTATTTAATTGTAAAGAAGAAATAATGGATATAATATATTCAAAGATTGCGCATCTCAATATCGGCTCTCCAGTCACATTAACATTGGTCATCCTAAAACGTAGTACAAATGCACTTTTAAACGCTTCAGTTACTTACGGAAGATAAAACTCATTGAAAACTGGCGATTTATATGTAAAACACTTCAAAAAGATGAATAGACTTTGCATTTATAAGAAAAAAAAACAAGTATTTCTACCAGAAAATGGCTCGTAAATACGTTAGAAAATAAAAATCATGCACATATTGAATACAGTCCAACATGTGGCATATTTACGTTGTAAATTAATGAGATCTAATACAGTAGACCGTATGTGGGATGTAAGGGAAGTTAGCAGCCGATTCGAGTTTTTCGCAAAACGATTCGCCCCATTGAGTGAGTCACACCAGAGATGCAGTGAACCAGATACAGCTCGACGAGCTCTATCGAATGGTATAATCAGATTTTTTCTGAACGCTTAGTAGCCGAAATGAAAACAAAGACATTGATTTTTTTTCCATAGAAAAAGATCGATAAAAAGGTTTTTCCTTTGACAATTCGCTTCACGAACTGAGCCACTTTTGGAACTTATCTTATTCGATGCAGCTTGACGAGCTCTATCGATTGGTATATGTTTCACCTTTAGAAGAATAAAATTTTTGGGGTTAAGACCGCTGGCGTGTCTCTAGGAAGGCTTCGGACACAAATTTCCTCTGACGATTCGCTCCATGGACTGAGCCACAACTGAATCTTAGCTCATTCGATACAGCTTGAGGAGCTCTATCGATCAGCATAGATTTCGTTCGAAAAAAAAAATGAAATTTTGGCCATTAAGGATTTCGAAAAACCTCCAGCGCGATTTATATGGTGCGACCTTCGACGATCCATTCCAGCGCTTGACCCGCTAATGAAACACAGTTAAATCGATGCAATGTGAGAAGCTCTATCAAATGATGTCTGTTTGAATACAGTTCTTGTATATGTTCATACACAAGAACTCTCATAAAATCAAGATATGTACTCTTTTTGTTTTTTTCTTCATTGAACAATTCGCTGATCAATTTGAACTACTGCTCGGCCAAAGCGGAATCGTTGCTGTATCCAGAGCCGTCTCGCATGATGTGTTTCATTATAAGTTTCGTTGATGATAATGTTGTGAATAAGGGTGCTGCTGACTATAATTTTATTCTTATCGAAGTGAAACACATGCCAATCAATAGAGCTCGTCGAGCTGCATCTGATTCACTGCATCTCTGGTGTGACTCACTCAACGGGGCAAATCGTTTTGCGAAAAACTCGAATCGGCTGCTAACTTCTCTTACATTATGTGGACGCTGTTACTAGACTGAAAGTCTCCATAATTTAGCGGTAGACCATTTTTTACACGTCATATTATTTGACCTCAATTACATCAATAGGAAGGTTTTTTTACCATAAAACTGATTACATCATTCAAATAATTGTAACAACCAAAATGCTTTAATAGACATTGATCATCAATATAATAGATTACAAGTCGTTTCGTTCACTTTAAAGACGAGATCAAACTTAAATCATATATTTGTCTCTAAAAATATTTTTGTTTCAAAGCATCCGTTGGATGGATTAAATTGTAAATGTTTATAATATTTCATCTAGTTTACTTTGTGCGAAGTGTTCTTGTCTTTATTGAAGTTCACTCAGCAATAATCAAATAGAAGATAGAAAAATTTATTAAAGTAGTCTAACTTCAAATTTGAACTCTTTTTCCTTTACCACCATTTGCTTAATTCGTTCATTTATGTTAGTCAATGAATCTAGCATTAAAAATTCGTTTGAATTTGCTGAAAAACGAGATAATGAACGTTCCAATCACACGAAAAATCAAAGTGTGTGAAAATATCAACGTAATCAAATCTATGCTTTTGCTATCATTCATCGTTCAAATCAATTGATACATTTTTTTACACAGTTAAAGAAATTTGTTGCTGTTTTCTATTCTCGGCTAAGTAGAAATGTAAGAAAAAATATCATGCAGTTGATGATTTATATTATAGACAATCGCATTTTCTTAACAAAGTGATTTCAAGAGACTTAATCATGCGAGTAATGAGCTTTGTCTCATTGATCTAATTATTTGAATTTATGAGGCCGCACTAATACAAATGGTATTCGTAATTATAGTCGAGACGTATTAATATATTTATATAATAGAATTTTGGAAAAACATTAGAATACTTCATAATAACTTAGTAGCAAATTTATTATTATCTGGTTGACCATGTAAATGTAGACTTAGTCTTCAAATGACATTTGACTTATTATTTATGTCGATTGAGGAATAAACGAGTAGGTTGATAATAGCTAGTACTGGTTATCTGTAATAAAAATGCTTTTGTCAACTATCTTTGGTAATTATAGAAAAAAAAAGCAAGGGTAAAGAAAATATTTGTAGAACAAATTTATCTATATATGAAACTAAGGGGCTAAGTAAACAGACAGATTGTATTGACATTTCAGAACTCATGTCATGTTGTCTTTCTTTTAGTGGGCTACGTATAATAAAGATATGCTTGTTTTCTATATAAAATCTACTTTAAAAAAGAATGGTTTACAATTTTGTTTGACAACATCCAGAACTATTCATGCAAACAATGATAAACGAAAAAATTTGAAAAACTATCGGAAATCTAAAGAATCACTACTTAATCATATCAATAAACGTAACTTTTAAGTAATTATTAAAAATTGACTTTTTTTTATGTGTGTACTATTTTGTATGATATTCCTTCCAATATTTTTCAATCCGAAAATCTTTGTCTTGTAAATTTTTGTAATTATATATACACTACAAGGTTTATCACTCAACTTCCATATGCACAACAAATTATAAATTCTATATAATTATATCAAATATTCCAATAATACCCTCTGTATTTTTTTTGTCTATCTCCAAATAAGCTGATACTTGATGAAAATACATTTCAATTCTATTTTCTAACAAAACACTTTTCATAGAAATATTAATAGATCTCATCAAACATCAGTTTCATATATTGAGAAAAGTTACTATATATTATTAAAGAAATATTATCAATATTGAATTGTATATGAAACATGAGGCATACAATAACAACAACAACAAAGATCGGTATAACAAGAAAACAAAATTTGTTTTGTTTTATTATAAATACTCCATTTGTTTTAACAATTAAAACAATTAAGTTTTTTTCTTAAGTTGAATAACATCTTTACGTGTATTGTTTGTTTTCGTAGAAAGATTTTTCTTTTTCTGCTTTTGTTTTTCTTTCTTTAGTTTAACTGCTGGTCGTTTTTCAACTCGACCTTGTTGTACACCATTATTAACATTTGCATGAACAGATTTTTTTGATTTAAATTTTTTATTTTGTTGTCGATGCTTTTTCGGAGATATATTTGGTTTTATAGGCTAAATACAAATCACATAAAAATAATTATAGTTTATTTTTGTTTAATCATCATCTACTTTAGGTTTTTTAACAGCTGTTTTAATACGTATTTGTCGATTTCCAACTTTACAATTACCATTCATTCTCAATGCTAGACTAACTGATGCTTCATCCTAGAAATTGAATGATTAAATTAATCGATGATAAAATTCATATAAACATAGACATACTTGAAAAAGAACATAGCCAAATCCTTTACCAACACTTGTTGCATTATCACGTACAAGACGAACATCTAAATAAACAAAAATAAATTTCTTCATAGTTGAATATAATCGAAACAGATTTTTACTTTCGATTTCACCACATTCTTCAAATGCTGTCCAGACATCGTCATCATTAGCATCAAAAGGAAGATTACCAATAAAAATACTTCGTTTATTATCATGCTATTTAATTAAATAATAAAACTATATACGAACTATTTTGTCTTTATTTCAATTACTTTAGCATCTTCATGTTGTTCATGTGCCACATCAACACGTAAATGATGTTCTTTATAAAGATGACCATTCCTAATATAAGCAATATATTTTATTTTGAACTAATGTTCGAACCAGAATTAATGAGGATTTATGGTTATCTCAATAATTCAACAAAACTAACAGCTAGCGATTTATGATTTTTCAATAATCGAAGAAGGAAATTTCAGACGTCTTTGTGTATCAAAATCGAAATTATTACGAAGCGTAACACTGTTTTTTCATGCATTTTTGTTTGAATGCTTTGCGAACATGATCAATTTAACAATAGTTTTGTTTTATATAGTAACAGAGACAAAAAGACGCCCGAAATTCCACTCTTCGATTACTGAAAACAACAGACTACTCTCACGATATGAAGATTAAATATTCTTTTTAATTAATAGTAAACTTACAAACTAGTTGCATTTTTTGCTTCAGTCTCATCAGTAAATCGAACATAAGCATTTATTGTTTTTTGTAAAGGATGAAATTCTTTTCTAAACCACATGTTAACATGATTCGAATGAAAATAATTCTAATTAACTAACTTAATAAATGCAAGACGTTTGCCTCGTTTTGGATTTAATGGAATCTAAAATATATTTTGTATACAAAACAAAAAAAATAATCACTATCGAATAGAATTTACATACGAGATTTCGAAGTCGTATCGATTTGACTGTACCAAATTGAGAAAATAATTTTTTAAGTTCCTATTTCAATGAATAAAAAAATAAATAAATAAATTGAAATATAAATTTTTTCATAATTACTTTTTGAGAACAACCAATTGGTACATTACCAACAAATACTGTTTGAGCATTAACTATAGATGAATCTTCATATTCACGTTCTTGTCTGTAAAATAATTTGAGTTAACACGTTCGTGATAATAAAAAAAGAAAACTCATCTTACTTCGTTGTCTTTTTTTGTATTTCGATTATTTCTTCTTCAACTGTTTCATTTTCTGATTCTTCTTTTACTGGAACACTTACAAGTGTTACTTTTTTTGCATTGTTAAATAAAGCAGATAAATTAGAAGTCATCTATAAAAACTAGAACTATGTAACTGCATAAATTGACAAGTTTTTTTTTTTGTTTTCTTCACATAATATATCAAACAACACTAATGTCTCTCAGATGGCCCCTGACAGCTAGCTGTCTTCATATAATATAATCGAGCAGATGCTTGGCATCGTGTCAATCATCATTGAGACTAATTGTATTGAAATAATATCAAAATAGAAGTAATAAATATCCTTTGTTTTCTCTTTTTTTTATTGTTAATTATTCTCTATTGATTTACTCTAATTTATTAATTTCTAATTATAGATTATTATAAAAAAAAACGCAAGACAATAATTATAAACAATAAAAGAAACCATTCTTTCTACGATTAGTATTTATTAATTCGAGGTACAACGAAAAATACCAGCAACCAAATGTGTCCACGAACATAAAGCATGAATACAACAAAAAATTATATCGTATCACATATAAGGAGATTCATATATATATATATAACTACTGGATTCTATACTTGTCTTTTTCTGTTGATTTATTTAAATTACTCCAAGATTTGTTGCTTTTGGTATTAAACCAGATCGACGAGGATATTTATAAAAAAGATATACTTGAATAAAACCCAATATGGCACCAAGAAAATTAGGTATCTGAAATATATAAATCTTAGAATTTTTTCTTTACTATGAAATTTTTAAACATACTTGAACAAATTTATCACCAATTAAAATACCATAGAGAACCCATTCAATAGGTACAATAAGATTGGCAAAACATAATGGTAATGAAAGTGATTCAGTACTTTGCTTTTGAACAACTTCTTGCTAAAAATTAAGATTAAATTCAATCAATTTTTAATATTATTACTATACACACAAGAGAAGCTAATGGTGAACCAAACATAATCACAGTAGTAACACATGCAACGAGACCAGCATAAAAAACCGCTACATTAGGATCAGATACAAAATATTGAAAATAACAAATAACTACGGCAAGAAATAAAACAGCCGATCCAATTAAACGAATATATGAAGTCTAAATAGAAAGAAAAATCACAAAAACTATCTTCTCGATAAATCATGTTTTTTTTTTTACACGATCTGATGTATATTGAAGATAAAACAAAGTATAAATCGTTTGTAAAGTAGCTCCTATAAAATTAACAACAATAAGTGTTGAATTATTAGCTAAATAACCATATAATGTCCAAAGAGTACAACTAGATAAATTGAAAATATTTTCATAAATTTCTAATTGCACATAAAAATAAAACACTTACTTAACTAATATGGCTACAAATGGAAAACCTGATATATCACCTGTTGAACGCATACGATAAATTCGATTACATATTTGTCTATATAGTAAAATAATAAATTATTCTATAAAAAAAATTTTCAATCTTACATTCCAGTTAAAAACAATCCAATTGTACTTATAGTACAAATTTTTTCAATTATTGGTATTAAACTATCATTGTTACTTGTCATTATTAATATTTCTTATAAATAACAAATCTTCTAGAAGAACAAAAAAAATCTCTTTTCTATTTTTCTTCTATTCATAGATAAATTTTTGAGAATAATTAAGGATTTTTAAATGATAGATTAAATCAATAGACACACACACATAGATATACAAACACGCAGAAAAAAAAAAAAAAGAATATACAGAATTAAATATTCTTGATTAAGTAAAAAGTCATTAATCATATATAATTAAATGTTTTTAGTAAAATTTTTTGGTTTTTAACCAAATGTATTTTCACCGCCATACGCAATGTATAAAAAGCTATCTTCATCTTTATATTCAGCATAAATTTCACCCATTGTTGCACTAAATATAAATTTTAAGAAAAAAAATAAATTGAATTATTTTTATTCTATTTTTGTTTTTTGATATATACATACCTTGATACGGGTATTGTTTTATTAACAAAAAGAAAAATTGCTTTTTCTGGGGCTAATTGAATACGTTTACGAATAATCCACATAAATTGTGCAATTGTTATATCATTTGGTACCAAAAATTTACGTTTATCAATATCAGGTATTTGTGATTTAGGTACCCGTTCAACAACAACCTAAAATTTAAGTTTTTTTTTTTTTTTCAAAATAATCAAATGTTTGTTTTTATATTACTGGAATTCGTTCTGGGTATTTAAGACGAATTTTTTCTGCTTCTTGTCTTCGTTGTTCTATTAATTATATATAAATTTATATAAATATTATTAAAATAAATAGATAACATACCAGCAGGAGTTTCTTCTTTGAATCGAAATTTCATTTTTTAATATATACTAAATTTGAAATAAATCTTCCTAAGAAACAGTTTGTTTTTATACAAAAAATAATGACGGCAATCTAGGAAGAAACAAAAAAAAAAACAAAACAAATAATCGATGAATCATATTGATCGACTAATAGAAATAATAACGAAGAAATAATATACCAAAAAAAAAAAAAATTCTTCAATAATCTTTCTTTCTCTGATAGAAACTTCTTTCGTCAGATTTTATTGACGAAACGAAGGTTGAGAAAGAAAAGAAAGTATAGACCAAGGGAAATATCACATGATAAATATAGATAAACTTTTGTTTGAATAAAGAACGAATCAAAATGATTGCTGATAAATTGAATCATTGACAACAAATCAGTAAACATTGCAAAAAAAACAAAAAATCCTAAAAATATTCCAATATCAACATGTTATTGAAAAAACCTAAGACATAAAAAGGAAAATAAATAATGTTAAATAACCTTTTTAATTATGCTTATTCTAGATGTCGTTCGTTCTCAATCGTGACTTTTTGAAAGTGTTCATTTAAAAGAACAAGTGAAATGAGAAATATTTTGCGACGAACTAATTATAAATTCTTCCTTCAAAGTTTCTATAAAGCTTTGAAGTAAATATCAAAACTATCACAACATTTTTCTTCTAGTAAATTGTGGAATTTTATTGTATTTTGCGAAGTTAGTTTTTTTTTTGTCATTACTCATCTTTTTCCTTGAAGTATATGATTCATACAACTTAATTGCGAATGTAACTTTAGCTTTTAACAATAAACAAGGTTGTTATATTACGTGACTAAGCGTTACCAAGTTTCATTTTTCTTTTTAAATATTGTAGTATCTATTTCTCGTCTATTGCAAAAGTAAATTATTTGCAACTTTTATTATAGATTAAGGCTATGTAGGTCTACTCTTAGCAAGGAAATTTAGTTGAAGTTGAATTATTTAGAAAGTACTAGTTGTTATGAAACTTCGAACAATGAGATTTCCTTTTAGTAGAGCTGCATGTTTAGTATTTTACTCTGAAACAGAGCAACATATAAAAAAAAAACTTTCTGTAGGAAACTTGCACAGATTTTAACAAGCGTAAATGTGTACCGAGTAAGAAACTGAAAATAGTGTTCATTACTGAATTTTAGATGATTTTCAAATGTATTATTTTAGTTCATAGACATCTAACATTTGTAAGATGTTCATCTGTTGAAAGAGTACTTCGTATTTGATTAATTAATAACTAATTGAAGAATGTTCTACAAGATTTCCATTGATTTTATTATTTTTCGTAATATTTTTGTGAATTCATTGATGATATCTTTACTATACTCGACTATTCGATATCATATTGCGATAAAATGTATCAGATTTCATATTTTATACAATTTTGGAAATATTAAGTTTTTTCTTTACGTTAAGTTTATATTGTGATTATCGAAATGTCATTCATTTATTCCCAATATATCTATAACAGTTATTACATCGTAAAAGAAGAAAAATATTGTAACTAGAGCGCACTATGAAGTCAAACTTTTTGATTCGGAAATTCGACTCCGAAGAACTGAGAAATTTTTCTTTTAACTAGCATATATACTACGTTTTGTACTGTGTGTTAATGAGAATGTGATTCTGATGTTTTCTTGTTTTGATACTTATATATGAATCTATAAACTAATGCATTTCCGTTCATTACTTATTATATAAAGAATAATTTTGTTACAATGTCAGAGTAAAAATACATGACTGTTTTACTGACATCACTCTGAAATTGACTTGGAAAAAATTCTTCATCATCAATTCGATTCCGACGGCATTGGATATCAAAATTCGATGTTAGATTCTAAATGTAATTGATATTTTCTTGAATGAAAAATCCAGAAGTGAGAATGTTCGATTATATTCGGTAAAGTAGTTTTCTCTTTAGAAAATATCGATTACCATGTTCTTCTGCATTTCATGATAGAACATCTCGTTATTAATGATAAGTTTGAAATAGAAAACATAAAGAATAAATACAGATATGTTACTAGAAGAAAGGTTAACATAACAATAATGTTTACTGATATAGTTATGATTAAAATCGAATAATATATATATTTTTTAATTGTTTGTTTTAAAGAAAATTATTTTTCTTCTATGGTCGATACATAACATCAGTACGAACTGTATATTTTCGACCTTTTTTCAATAATGAACCTTCATGAAAAAGTCGATGTTCGAACACTAATACCATTCCTGTACGTGGTTTACATGAAAAATTTTTTTTTTTATCACAATAACTAATAAATGTCGTTTCTCCACCTTTATAATTATCATTTAAATAAAGTTGTATTGTCTAAAACAAAATTTAAAAAAGAAGCATATTACAAAATTCAAGTAAATCAAAATAACTAACAATACAACTTATTTCACCGGATCCGTCAGAGCGTTGATAAACACCATCTATTTAAATCATAGAAAAACTATTCAATAAAAACAAAGAATAGGAGATATTTATATACCCATATGTCCTTTAAATTGTTGTCCAGGATCATAACGAAGAAAACGAAGACGTTCATTAAGTCCAACTAATTTATAATCCTTCCATATTTTTGGGTAAATATGGTTCAATACGTTCAAATAATATATTTGCCATATTAACATCATCAATAATACATCGATCATTATTTCGAACATCTGTCATTAAAACTTCACGTAAACCAATATTAACTAATGCTGAAGCATAACCACGTTCTTCTGTTAATTTAATCCATCAGAACATTCTTCTTTTGTGAAAACATTTAATAAAATAAATGCTAGTTTTCCCGAATCTTCTTCATTTGGTAATTGCACATCAATTTTTTTAATATTTTTTCCTGTTGCCATTGCTATACTGATATAATCGCTTATCAAGTTTTTCAATCCTTGTTCTTATTGTCATTGCAACACCGATAAGAGGCTTTTGCCACGTCAATTTGATCTGACTCACGATTACAGAATGAAAAAAGAAATTTCAAATAAATAAATATGAATTCTATCAAATCAAATTAGGAAATTGAAAATTAAAAAAAATCTATTAAAGTAGTGAAATGGACATAAAAATTCATGTATTTCTAAGTAATGAATTCAAAAGAACATTTTCATCAATTCAATTCTATGATTTTAATTTAGAAAAAAAAAATCACATTCTCATTGCATTTTCTTAATTAAAATTTTTATTTTAATCAATAAAATCGAAATACATGTATTTCTATGTCTATTTCATCATCTAAAATGCCTTTTTTTTCCTATTTTTGATATGAAATTCATAAAAGTCATCATAATTTTTTCACTTTTGAATTCATTGATAGTGTCCATAAAAAGAAACTTTTCTTATAAATGCTTTTTATATTATTATTCTGCTTATTTTTTGTTCCATTTGACATGTTTCACATTAACACGGTTTCACTTGATCTAATACTTTAGTATTTTTACATAAACGTAATATTTGAAAACGTTATTATAGCTAATATGAAACTAAGAAATTCATAGGTAAATGTAAAGATAAAAGAATATATATATATTCAAAATACAAATATGTTGAATGATGCGTAATTTTATAATAACGAGCTTTTATAAAGTTATTAGGTACATATAATATTGTATTCATGGATTGTTGCACTTACATCAAATAAATCAGCACAATAGTTTTGATTATAGAGATTTCGTAGCCAATAATGTAGTATACTTCATAATAAAACATGATTAAAGAAAAAACTTTAGTTTAAAAAAACATCACTAAAAACAAGAAAATATTGACTAGATTATTAATCTTTACAATGAAGTTTTCTATTTTGTTGATTTAGTAATCTCGTTTTTGACCTTTTCTCAAATGACAAGCATACAATATATTATATTTAGTTTTTAGAACGCAATTCATGATTAATTAGGATCAAAAGTCACTAGCTCTTTTCTCATTTTTTTGCATTCTAAGCTGATTGTCATGATTTTGTTAAGTTGTAATCTTATATTCATCTTCATAATAATCTATAAATAGATTTGTGTTTGTCAATATATTCCTATTAATATATATATATGAATAAATGAAGTGTATATTTCTATGATCATTCGACTAAAAATTCTTTAGATTAAACATACAGTATAGAATACGTCATTAATAATTGATAATAAAAATTCTATATCTAGTACAAAGTTGATTTTTTGATAAGAAAAAAAAATAACTAAATAAATATTTTCTCTTGATTAAAACTAACTTTAACCACATGGCAAAATTTATTCTTTCTAATAAACAGTTTTATATTTAATAATATATATATATTTCGTTTTCTTATTTCAAGTTATGATATATTTTATTTAAATACAATAACTGAAGCAAAATGACGTCTCTTTAGTTCTATTTAACTCAATTACATTTGCATAGATCATTGTTATAATATAAACATTGCTAGTAAATGATTCTCTTTCATTTAATATGAACTGAGAGTTCTTCTTTCATATCTAAATTATTGATCAAAGTGCAAGAATAATATCTTTTTTTTTTGTTTTGATGTTTGATTATGTGTTTTTCTCGAAGGTTATTTGTCTTGCACCTAGTCTTGTCAATATTATATGTTGTCTCTTTGACTTGCTCAATAATATAGAAAAATCTCGTCCTTCGTTGTTTCCTGTTCGAAATAATAAAGCATTATTTCTTCTTCAGACATAAAAACAAAATATTATTGGCTCTATAAATTTAATAAAAACTGTTATCCTTCATTCAATTTATATTCGATGGTCAATGACTTTTTTTTTCTTCTTGTGATTGATAATTATATGATCTTGAATTCTGAGAACTATAAATAGCGGTTTATTAACATGCATTCCTTCATTATTTGACAAAAAAAATTATTGATGCAGAAAAGATTAAACAACAGTCAACTATGAAGATTGAGTCACTCAGGGACTGAAAAAACTAATTAGGTTGCAAGGATGTATTCGTCTGATGATAGTTTATGACAAAAAAACAAAAAAATAATTCAATACGAAGAAGAAGAAGAAGAAAATTTTTCTTATCTAAAATAGCCAACATAATTAAGGTCATTTTCTTACATTAAAACACACTGTTCTACAAATTATATTAAAAAGAATAGTCCACATATTTAAATATTTTTTCATGACATAAGATTATTAAATATTTTACTAAAGTAAATAGTATATTATCGATGATTTTCTTGGAAATATTATGATAAAAATAGCAAAGGTGAGTCGGTTCAATGACAATTTACTAATAACTGTATTGACGTAACAAATAATTATGAAATAAAAATAGTTTATTATTATTTAATTTGAAGAAATTTTTAAGTCAAACACAATAAAACTAAAAATATTCTCATAAAGAGAAGAATTTGTTTTTCATTTATTAATCATCATTCTACAGCTTTAATAACAATATTTTTATCGCATTCATTACTTTCTTCCGGAGATAATCTTAAATAAATATTAAGTACCCTTTTTTTTTTTTTTTTTTTTTTTTCTATAAAATAATTTGTGTTTTTTGTGTATTTTTCATGGTGCTTATTTCTCGATTTTAAATAGATTAACTATAAACAATTCTTAATTTCATTTTGTATCAAGGCCAAAAAAAAAGAAAGAAAAAAAAATATATAAACAAACACCAACAGACATACAACAATAAATATATGATAATAAAAGAACGAAAGAAAAAAGACAGAAGATTCATTGTTGCGTTTTAATAATAAAATCATGTACATTGGACGTTGAAGTATAATTTGATGATAATTGTTGTTGTTCTTGTTGTTGTTGTTCTGGTTCTTCATCAATATTAGGTTTTAAATAATTTAAATGTTTAGATGGAAGAGATCTATGATGATTTACTTTTAAATTCCATTTTAATTTTTTTTCAATCGATATTGGTTTAATTTGTTTTAAATTAAATGATACATTTGTTGTATTTGCATTTATATTTAAATGTCCATTTGAAAATCCATCTATGGGTTTTCTATTATCATTATCAGATATATTTGAATGATTTTTTTTCGATCGTTTTACACGAAATTGTTTTTTAAAACTATGATAATTATTATGTTGTTCATTATTTATATTTGAATGATTAATAAGTGCATTTGTTTGTTGTTGTTCTTGTTGTACACGTTCTACACCGGGATGTTCAGAAAGAAGACAACGTGCACGACGAAATGCACGATTTCGTCCAACAAATGTTTGATTAAGAAAATAATTACAATGTGCTATTGTAAATGCTTCTTTAAGAAATACAATTGATGTTAAAGAATAAAGAAAAAAATTTAATGTATAATTTAAATTTCTTATTGTTAATGCAATATAACGAAAACCTATATTAATTATATTGACTTTAAGATTTAATTTTACACTACCAATTGCTGTTGAAAATAACCAATACCAACATATTTGATATGGCATTGTAAATGTTATAAACGAAAATGAAACAGCTATTAACATAACACTTATATGAATACGTCTTGAACCACTTGTACGTATACGATTACGTAGTTTATGTACTGTTATTATACTTAATGTTAATATTAATATTGATGGTAAAACATATATGAAAAAAATTTGTATTGAACCAATTATTTGATATGTTTTAGAAAAAAATAAAAGACAATCTTCAACTTTAGATGCAACTATAGCAAGACCAAGTGGTGCAATAATAGCTACTAAAAAAACGCTAAAAACAATAATCCATGCTTGTTGTCGATTAAAACTTGTTCGAATTAAAAATGGTTTTGTTACTGATAAATAACGTTCAACAGCAATCATTAATATAAGCCAAGAATTAATTGATGAACCAACTAAATCAATATAAACATGAAATGCACATAAAAAACGTGAACCTGTTACAACAAAACCAATGAAAACTTTATGATTAAGCCATTGCATAGTTACAGGACCGGCAAGGATAAGAATATTTGTTAAAGATAACATTGCCATAAATACTGATACAGGATAACGACGCATACGTTTACGAAGAAAGATTATCATAGATAATGCATGAGTTGGAATACCTATTTTGAAATAATGAAAAAAAAAAAACAAATTCAGTTTTTTTTTCTTTTTATTTGAAAAATTAAATTATCTAATAAACTTAAAAAATCTAATATATTCTTATGTTAAAATTGAATTTAAAATATAATATATTCATTATAAATTGAAGTACTCACCGACAATGATCAATATTGGATTAGCATATAGAAAGACTTCATCTGTTATATAATAGAATCTTGTATATGCTTTATAATTTTCCCAATCATCAGCAAGACTTCCATTAACATCATCGTTATTGTCAATTCTTGTTGTTGCAATAGTTGATAATGATAATGATGAATTCATTTGAATTATTATCTAATTATATCATTTATTTTTAACAAATAGTTTTTCATCTAAGAGAAAAAAAATTAAAACATTAAATTAATCAAAGTCAATAATAAGAATAAAGTTCATTTCACTTGAAACCAAAATGATAAGTAAAATATTCGAAAAATAAAACTCTATAATACTTTGTAGAATTTAATATAACTTCTACAATGATATTCAACAAATAAAAAATAAGTTATTCATATGACAATACTCTTTTTTTATGAAAATTCAATATCTTTATTAATCAATAAAAAATGACACCTATATACGCGTCAAGCATAAATGTTACCTACAGTAGTCGTATATTACGTCTCTTGATGAAATATGAGAAACAAGAATGAGTTCGTTGTTTTTTAATCAAATGAATTGTGCAAGAAATTATGGCTTACAGTCAACACAGGAAACCTAACTTGTTCAATGCTCAGTCATTTAATGCTTTTATTTTAGAAAAAAAGCAAAAACTCTTTAGAAAAATAAAAGACAAGAATTTAAAACTGTCATAGCATTCGATTTTCTCTCTTTTTCTCTTTCTCTTTCTCTCTCTTTCTCTCTCTCTCTTTTTATGCTTTTTAACTATACACAGAACTATATACTTCCTTTTTTTTCACAAGCATAGAAGAAGAAAAAAAACTCATTTTCACAGAAGCACTTCTTCGTCGTTTCATTTATAACGCATGATAGCATAGTTTTCTATTTAACTTCATAATAAAAACATGATTTCTTTTTTTTTTTTGGTTGTTGTTGTTGTCTTACGTTTTTGATCATAGTATGTTGTTCACAACTATTCTAGGTTATCAAAATAATATCAATGGAATCATTTGCAGAATTGTAATCGGTAGAGTATTTTCCTTATCGATATTAGTTTAAACAGTAGACCAACATGAACTACTGTTCACTTTTTTTCTTCTATGTAAAGGTCAGATTGATGATTCTCTCGACTAGTCATATTCATCTTCAAATCACTATAGTAATGATAGAAGAGTTCTATTTTACTACAAATACACATTTTCACTATTTATTATTAGTAGTTTTATCTCACTCTGATTATCTATCGGTAATCGAAAAACACCATAGAACTACAAATTCTGTATTTGCTTTTGATATATTGGTTAAATAATCGTTAGACGCAAACATGATTAATTAATAGTGTTTTTTTTTTATTTGCTTTTCATATTATATTCTTTTTGTTATCTCTTCTGTTAATATCGAATGTACCGGTTAATAAGTACAAAATATAAATACATCTAACATAAATTGTGATACTATATATAATTAACTGATTTTGTTTTTTAATAACATAAGTTAATGTCAAAATGAGTTAGTAAAAAATGTACTGTACATGTTAGAATGAATATTTCTTAATAAAATAGTCTGATGCATATGTTGTCAAAATATTAAGTTAGACATTAGTAAAAAAAAAGAAAGAAAAGAAACATTTGGTTTGAGAGAAAGAAAATAATTTGATAATAAATTTTATATGATAAAAAAGAATGTGCGAAAAATCAAAAACTTTAGACGGACCCGTAAAGAAAAAAAGTTTTATCTATCGGTCGATTGGTATAGAATCGAAACATAGCAACGTTGAAAAGAGAAATTCTTGTCTTACAACGCATTTCATTCGACGCAAAACTTATCACCATCATCAACATCAATTTTTGTTGTTGTTGTTGTTGCCTGAATCAAAAAAGAAATAGATGACATTAGAAAAGAGAAAAAAAAAAAAGGAGAGAGAACAAAGCCGACAGCTGACACAATTCGGCTCATCTTTCGTCCATCTTTTTCTCTGTCTGTATATGTGCAAACACTGATGATGCTGTGCGTTTTTACGTCTTCGCTAGACTATTGAACAGATCGTTAATCTTTTTTCTGTTGATTTTTAGATTGAAAGAAGACTAGAAAAAAAAGACAGAGAGAGAGAGAGAGAGAAAGAGAACAAAAGAAATCGCCTGACAGTGAGTTGGAATTACTATCCTAACTTTATTATGCTGAACCACGTAAATAATCAATGAACAAGTAACTTGTAGTAAAAACGTCAACAGACAATCCAAAATCAAGGTGGCATATACAATTTTTCTTTGTATTCTAACACATACTTTTTTTTATATCTAATATGTGTAAATATTGTGAAAGATTTTCTCAATAGGAAAAGAATAATGAATAGAAGCCTGTTTCGATGTCTTCTTCTTCTTTTTTTTTATCATAGATACATTTATCGATAAACAAAAATCTACTCTATGGAAGTATAATTGCTGTAAATAAATCAAAGGAGAAAGAAATGAATAGAAGGATATTTACATGACACTTAACAATATTTTTCTCTCGTTTAAATATTTACTATTTTTTTTGTTTCAATACTATTAACATTATTTATAAGTAAAATATCTATGTGAATTATATCAATATTTATAGTTAATTACATATTAAACGTGTTGAATCTGATGTTTATAAATTAACTAAACATATCAACTATTATCTATTGTTTTTTGTCATTTACAAATTTGTCCTTGTCATTGAGCTATCAAGGTTATTTTAAGAATTTAAGCTAAAATAGTAACAAACAAAAGCAGACGGAATAAGGCGGAACGGAATAGTTATAGCCGCCCATCATCAAAAGAAGGCTTGTGTGCATTTCTGACTTCCTCTTTCCCTATTTAATGACATTATTGTATATGCATCGTAAATGCTCTATTAAGTAACATGACTCGACATAAAGACAAATAGAACATAGGGTACACGGAAATGCTTCGATATAAAGTAAAATGAAAGCTAAATGAGCATTCACACAGTTGAAAGATACTGTTATTTATAAAGAAATATGTTTCTTACAATCGATATTGTTGTTTGATGACAAAAGTTGGTGTTGAATCGCAACAGATGCTAATCAAAATAATGCACATATAAATGAACAATTATACATCATAGTCATAGATGAAAAATAAGATAAAGAAGAAAATATTCTCGAAAAAGAAAAAAAAAAAAAAGAAGCTTTTTCATTTCAACTTATCTCAATATGTGAAGAAGAATCTTTTTTTGCTATGACAAGTGCTTAGCTAACATACTTTACATGACAACTGACAAATACATATATATATATACTTTTACACTTGATAGTTAATAATGGATTAAAAGAATGATTATTTGTCCGTGATATTAGTTCAAATCTGAACGTACTAGTAATATTTTGCACTTTAGACAAAAAAAAGAAAAGTTCTCTTACATAATAATGATATGAACGTATGTGACTTTTAAGAAACATATAAATGATCTCTTATATTCTTTCGCGGTTTTGCAAATTTGAACAATTATTATTGCTTAGCATATTAATCTATTTATCTATATTTTCATAAAAAAAAAGAAAAGTTATGATTCTCGTTCTCTCATCTTATATTTGATCGATGAACATCGGGATTTTGATAATGTACTTCCTGTATGTATGGTGTCTGTCGTCCGAAAAGTCAAGTGTCTCTGTAAGTGTTTATATATGGTCGTTACTCGACATTGAACTTCTCCAACATAATCTATGTATATGCCAACGCTTAATGCCCTTGACAATGAGCATGTTAGCGAAAGTACTTACGATTGACAGGTTTGTTGACAAGCGTGTGCTCATTTCAATAAGAATGCTTTTTTTCCTTTATTGTTCGCATCTATTGCTATTTTTGGTAAAAATTTAATTGATCTTAAATTCAATATATTATATTATTTCCGACATTTTTTTTTTTCTATTTCTCATATAATATTTAGTTATAATTACAAAATAACTATTTATTAATATATATGAATATATTACTCAAGTTAATAGTGAGTTGACAGAGTTAAAATAAAATCTGATATGAATATATATTTTATTTAATTAGAATATAGATATTTCTCTTATTCTTTTCTTTTTGTCAATTCTTTTTTTTTTTTTTTTTTTTTATAAATCTATTACGATTCTCAATCTCGCTCTTCCTTTTTCTCTTTCATTTAATGAACATAAAATGCAATCGACGCGCAACAACAACATAGTAATAATGACAAAGAAAGATTGATAGAAATAGATAAAAGAAAAATAAAAGATGGCAGAAAACTATCGACTAAGAACAATACTTGTCGGAAGAAGCATATTCAACATACGAAGATGAAAAATATAGTTAATATAATGCAAGCTAACCCAGTCTTGTCAATGAATAAACAATGGAAAAGATCCATTTCTGTCTCTTTGTCCTTTTTTTTTTGTTATGTCGGAATGCAGACACACACATCTATGAAAGCAAAAAAAAAATAAAGTAAAATTGACGAAAACGAATTAAAGGACGTTTTAGTCTAGTACATTTTCTAAATTAAAATGAGTCATTAACTATTGTTTATTTACTATACCAAGTAGTAACATATCATAACATCCGTTATTAAGTGTTATGTTACAATGTCTTTTACAGTTAGTTCGAGACAAAACTTACCACAGTTAGACTATTGTATACGAACGAGTATGAAATGCTAATAGAAGTGATCACTTTCTCGTTCTTAACGATATTGTCATCATGTCGGGAATTGTTGATACTCGTCCTTGTTTTCATTCACACTATGTTCTATTTTTCTATGACTAGCAAGAAAAAAAGAATAATAATATGAAAAAAAAATCACCAATTCACACTACATTAATAGTTTCCAAAAAAGAATCATAGAAAATAGAAAAACTTACTAGAGTATGGGTCAAATACGAAATCGATCTAGTTATTTCTACGATATTCTACTACTATAAATAAAAATCCTATACAAGTAACTATAGAATTATTATTAATGTTCTTATAGTTTTTGATATTCGACTAAAAAATTGAATAGTACTGAATAGTTTTGTGTCTCATGTATTTCTTTTTTTTTTCTTCTTCTTAAGGTATAAAGCAGCCACTTGAATAGTCTATGCAAAAAAAAAATGATAGATTTATTCTTGATAATCGAGAATGCAAGATTGATATAAATAAAACATATAAATCAAGTAAGAACAATAAATAGAACAATGTTATTACTCTTTGTAACCAACACTAATGATTGTCGAAAATATCGAAAGGTTAAGTAATACACTACAAAATAAATCTAGATTAATTATCATTGACCTATATTATCATGAAAAGTGGAATATATAAAAATAATTTCTTAATGATGATATATTTACGTGCACAAGAATTCCTTGATTCCCGTCTATTCGATGCCTTTCTATTCTATAGAATAATAGCAATAACTATATCAATCTCGATGCATGTTCGAAGAAATAAGAATGAATCTGTTGAGTATGTAATTTTCCGAATTTAGTTCAATCATGCAATGTGATCATCGTTGTTATTTTTCAACTATAACTAGATGAACAAAAGACACTTATTAATAAATAATAATTAACAATAGTTTAATTAAAATCTAGTTGAAAATATTGATTCTATACGAATAACATTTAATAATTTCGAACAATGTTCTATTTTTGTCATTATTAAATTCAAGTACATATAATACTTATTTATACTTATAATATCGATGTTCTTTTATACCTCATCTATGTTCATTCGTCGACAAAAATAAACCTTTATATTTATTATAAAAAATAAAAAAAAGTAAGACAGCAACAAGAATAACTGTTGATAAAAATGATTTTCATAGTGAGAATATCTTTCCATATGTTAAGTCTACTTTTAAAATATGATGTGAATATATATATATATTAGTATATGTGGCACCATATTGTCAAATCAAGTGTTTAAAATGCAAAATTACGAAATCAATATATCTTATATTTGAATAAAAATATCAAAATAATAAATGAAAAAATTTATAACATAGAGCTAAACTCAAATATCAACGTATTGGCTTTTTTTTTCTTTGAATATTTTCAATATATAAAAGAGTTCGAATTTCAATAGTTGTTAAGTATGCAAATCTATATTCTGATATGAAATAATTCAAACGGTTTTTTTTAAATTTGTTACTGCTTTCATGTGTGGTACCGTTTTAAGTTGTAGGGTTCCATTGAGTAAATTACAACTATTAATTAATGCGCTTTAATACTTCTATTGTATTACGAAGAGATTATACTCATGCACTGTCTATCGCTTATTTAGTTATAAAAAACTCAGAGAAGCAATACTGTAGTTATAAAATACGCATATTTTTCATAAAAAGAAACCTGCATAAGTATGTGAATAGTGGATAATAATGATAATAATAATTACATTATTTATGTTGTCTAATAACAACATATGAATGTGGGATTTTTAGTGATTTCCGATAAAAGCTAATAAAAAGGTAACTTTAATATTGAAGAGAACATGTTTTTTTTTTGCATGCATTCGAAACTGATAGAAACGTATTTTTTTTATTCAATATGAAACGAAAATACACAGAATAATTATCTCCGATAAGTGTTAGTTTTGACAATATGAGCATATTTTATTTATAAGATAAATCTTAAACAGACAAATGAATATATTTAAAATAAATATTCATAGATTATTTTATTGAAAAGAAATATTGATGAATGTGTCAAATAAAATATGAAGAATTGAGTAGGAGTGTCTCTAATCTCCTTCTATCATTCCTTTATTTTATTATCATAGTCACGAAAAGATTCTATTTGTTGAACTGTTCTGTTTTTTTTTTTTCTATCTAAATAGTATATATTTATGTTAATTGATATTACCTAAATATAATTTTAAAAATCTTAGATAAAAAAAAAAATGATACTATATACATAAAAATATGTTTCTTACTTTGAATTTTTCTGTCATCGAATGTAAAATTATTTTCAATTAAGTTAGAACTTTTTAAAACTTATAATTCTTCATATATAAAAAGAATTCTATTTCAGTTTTCAATCAAACAAATGTTTCTTTGCTAGAAACTGAGAATTTATATATACGAACTGCCTTACTAAGATATACAGAAATAAACGAAAATTACTGTACTATATTTATGTAAGTAGGTATATGTAATCATGTTTAATTATTACTGAGGGGGGCTGAGGGGCAAGAAATATCTTCATATAAAAAACCTTACACATACTCGATAAAACTCATGATTATAGTCGAACAAAATAGAAAGACATGAAGCATACATACACGACAACTATTGTGAGAGAAACCAAGAAATTTATTTAATTCCATTAGACAAGATAGAATGTTTCACTACTAAATTGCGCATAGAAACGTTGGGAATTCATCATTGTTAAACAGTTATTGTGAATGTCATTCTAACAAATGTTTGAGGAACTTGAACAAAATGATTAAATCATTGGAGACAACATTGTGTGACTGAGATAGAAAAATTAATTTTCATCTTTGAATATAGTATAACGAAATTTATTTCTGGATATATTTAGTACTAATATTTCTAGTATGTCAGTCCTCGCGTGTGAACATATTTTCTGACTTAGACGTTTGATTCGAGTGCCTATAAACAAAAGGGAATATTTAGATGAAATAACATGTTTATTGAAATAGAACAATACTTGATCTTTCTAGAATATGTTCTTTCGAATATAATACATCGGACTTACATGTAGAATTTGATAAACATATCTTTCGGTTCGATTTGTTCATCCATCTAATCATTTTTTTTTATTTACACGAAAATCATAGTTTTCTAGTAAACTCATGAAATTAATAAATGTTTTTATTTTCAATAAGAAAAATTGATTCAAATCATTAAGCTCAAAATTGCGTAACTTCTACAATAATCTGACACTTGTTGAATATCCTTAGCATATATATATATGATTTAAACATTTTCCTTACTTGATGAACTTAGTTCAATTGTTTGTAATACGTTTCATACTAACTACTATTGTTTATTTATTGAAATATCGCTTCAGTATTCGTAATACTGTATAGTTGAAGCCAAATGACCTTCTTGAACTATTCTTTTACATATATGCGCTAGAGTTCATATACATTTGTGTGCAAGAAAAAACTTGCGCATTTGGCTTTGCGGGTGTTTCTTTCTATATATGGCTACTTGAACTGTTTCATCTCTGAAATGAGAGGCCACTAAGAGTACGAGATTGTATCATAATTGAAAATCTTATTCATTCATTCATTCATTCTTGGAAAAAATAACAAAAAAAAAAGATTGCTTTTTCATAGACAACAGATAATTTATTACGACACAAATATAGACATTTTATAACTGTTTCATTAAAAATCAATTGACTTTCTTCGATATCTTTTGTTTGGTTTTCAATTTTATGTGATATAGCGTGTCAAATATTTTCTATCGGATTAAATACAAACGCTAGTTTTGACGAAAACAAAAAAACGAATGAATAGTTAAATAATATAACGTTTCTTCAGATTTTCTATATGTTCTCATTGATTACTTTTAGTATTTTCTTATGATTAAGACAAGTCTATTGATGAATAACTCTTTTGTTGTTGACATTGAGGGCGTATCGTCGACCATTTCGTCTACAATACTCAACCAAATTTATTTATGTTATTTTGTTGATATTATGAATAGAGTGTCCTTGTAGAAGTCTTTGTTCCACGCTTGACAAGGTCAGTTGATCTGGTGGCTTTGTTTCAATAATGTAATATTAATATAAATAATCATATTTTAAAGAAGAATCAAATGATATTTTTCATTTCTATATATCCAAAATAAGAACAATCATATTTTCCGAAGATCATTTCTTTGTCTACCACGGAAAAGATTATCGCTAAACAAAATATTTAATTTTGTATAAGCTTTGTGTTTTTGACAAATAATTGTATGACTAATTTTGTTATGTGAGGAAAAAATGGGCAAAAAATCTATTTTGACATGTTGAATTTTATTAATTTTACCGTCCTTTTTTATTTTTGTACAAAAAAGAATGAACAGAAAAAAAATCAAAGAAAAAAAAAAGAACGAAGAACTATATCAGACTGTAAAATTAGTCCAACGATTGCATCATTCATGTTGAACGAATGGATTTGGAATTTCTTCCATGCCATCTAATGGACATATGAGTACTACTGATGTACCTCGACATATAACAAGTCCTAATTGTCGAGTATCTTCACTAATTTTATATTCATCATCGGGATCACGTAAATATTCAATAGTTTGATCGAGTACCAAATTTAATAATTGATCATAACCTAAATTAATAAAATATTAATATATTAACTTATCTATATATATATATATGTTTCTACCTTTTAAAACTCCACTACATTCTCGACCACCATTAAATTTCACTCGAATACGTTTGTCTAAATATTTATTTAAATCAACAATATTTTCTTTTCGACGACCAATGCTATCAGCCATCTGAAGTATGAAATAAAAAAACACTATAATTTAGAAATTGACATCAAAATATGATGATCTATTTATTGATGTTTTGTTTTTATTCGGATAGTTTTTCTTTTTTTTTTTTCTTCTTCATGCTTTATATTTGCGTGATGGAAAAAAACATTAACAAGAGTAGCAACAAAAAAAACAACATTTTTTTTAAGCCACAAATTGATAAGGAATTGGTTCGACAATTTGTGGTTTGTTGCCTCGAGTTCGTACCAAATGTTGTTTACGTGGGCCTTGTGGCTATAAAAAAATAACAAATTCACATGAGAATACACAAATATATATAGATACGTCTATAAATATTACCTGACGTTTAATACTAGCAAGTGGTACACTTTTGCCTGATTCTTTGGCTCCTCGTTTCAATTGTTCATTGAGTTTGACACGATTGAGAAAATCAGCACGACATTTTGAGTGTTTGACTATACAGTGAATAGGTTATATTTTTCAAACAAAATACTATTACATACTATGTTCAATACGAACATTAATTCGTTTAGCAATGATACGATGACTGAAATTGATATATATATATATATGTATTAAATATATTTCAAATTACATATATTAAAAAAATATACCGAACACGTTTGTTGACAATAATACCAACAGCATGTCGAGTTACATTAAAAACACGACCAGTTTTTCCATGATAAAATCGATGTGGCATACCTTTTTGCACAGCACCATTGCCCTAAAAAGAGTACCGTAAATATCAATATATAGTGTTTGAAAATTTAAAACAACAAATAAATATACTTTAATATCGACAATGTCACCACGTTTGTAAATTTTCATATAGGTAGCCAAAGGAATACGACCATTTTTCTTGAAATCTCGAGCAAATAAATGACGGGTACCTCGACGATAACCTTTTGGATTTGTCATTGTAGCAACGGTACTGATGAGATAATGATATTAATCTTGAAGAAAGACAAAAGAAAGTAATAAAATCAAATCAAGTATTACAAAAATTAATATTGTAAGAAAATAAAATGAAAGAAATCCATACAATCCATCATTAAGCAAAAAAGAAAAAATAATCAACGGATGGAAAGAACCTCCACTCTACATTTACAAATTTTCATCTTCTACGATAAGTCAAATATTGACGCCAATACGAAAAATAAGAAATGAATTGTTGCAATTTACGACATCTACAATACTCTGTGTTATATATTAATATTACCATTTAACTACTAATTTAACATAATGGATATTGGTGACTGTAACAGGAAGTGTAGGAGAGTTGTTGCTCGGTTCAACTGAACTGAAAAATATAGATGATGATATCATGCTTTCCAATCATGAAATGCTTTTGTTTTTTCACACGAAAGGCAAAAATATTTCCTTTCATTCTGTGAATCCATTTTCTCACTCATATTAATTTCTTAGAACTACTGTTACTTATTTATACTAATTATTTATTATTCTGCCATTGTTAAATTTCTTTAATAATAAAGAAAATATTTCTTGTCCTAACATTGACATCGATTTATTCGAGCCTTACTCTGCTTTGTATCTCTCTTGCTTCAAAATATTATAATTGTTAGAGTGTGATTGTAGTTGGTATTTATGTTTTCCTTTTTGATGATCAAATGCAAGATCGCTTGATTACATTTCTATCTTGATATCATCGTCCTCCTCTGACTTAAATGACGAGAGAAATCCAAGTTAATTATCTTTCCAATATGAAAACATTTATTGTTAGAGCAGTAAAATTAAATTTAGAAAAAATTATCACGTACATTCGTCAAAATGCCGATGCCATACTAAGTACTCATCAGCATATAGATAACTTACTCTTCGCATCTCCCAAATTTTATTATTCCCTTTCAATCATTCATACTTCTAAGATCTATATGAAATTTAGATTCTAGGGACAAGCGAAGGTACACATAATTATATTGAAACAATAACGTGTATTATCGAATGGAAAAAAAAATCCTACTGATCACATAAACTTATGAATGAATTCTTATTCTGCAAATCTATCGAATGACAGTCTAGAATATAATCAGTCTCAAAATCATGGAAGATTATTACAAATAATACGAAATCTCAATCATGTTTTCACATATCCATCACAGAGATACTCAATTAAAATTAGAGGCAAATAAACAAGGCTTCTGTATAACATTAATTTACTGACAAATGGTTATGCAAAATAATTAAATTTAACATTTCTGTAATTGCTGAAATTTGTTCCTGATGCTTTTGTTTTGTTATCCCTGATGTCATCCTTCAGTACAACGACAAATATATCAGAGTGGTGACTAAATGAAATCACCAATCATCTGAAAACATCAAGTGTATTCAATATCTGTTCCATATCAAAGCTAATTGATGCCACTCTTTAGGTCCTATGACAATAAAATGCGAACGGAAGCAAACTGATTGTCGTACCTGCCTCAATAATCTTACAGAAGGTCACACAGATAACTGTTCGAACCTGATTCGTTAATCTTAGTCCGATGAATCTCAGCATCCTTCATCTGTAGAATGTGAAAAGGTGATTTAATACTGATTCGTTTCAGAGGAACAAGTTAATAAGACAATATCAAAAGAAAACCTACATCGATTAGTGTCTTATGATTGCAGTCATCCATCCCAATCTGGCCTCGTAGTAGGACTATATTTCCTATATTTCCTATATTTTTAAAATTAGTCCTATAATAGACTATATTTCAAGGTTTTTTTCCTATATTCCTATATTTTTCGAAAAATTGAAGATTCCTCGCAAAAGTCACATATTCTTTGATCTGAATGTCAAGAAAGCAGCAATAAGACGTTCAATGGAAGAAAATACAGAACATGCTTATATAAATGAAGTCTGTAAGCAATTATTGTAAGAAAAAGAAGAAATATTAATGAAACTAAAAGATTTTCAGCATGAACTTCATGAAGACGACTAGACAGTCACCAATAACAGTGAACGTTTACTAGAATCCGCAATCAAGAAATAGTCTTGATATAGCTAGAGCTACAAGATTAACTGATTATGATAATACTGAAAGTAAAACGATCTGGAACAGATGTCGAAAGTACAGAACAGTTGATTAAGATTAGAAGTGAATGAAAAAATGATTTGGGCCAAGAAGAACAGAAACGACAAAAAACTACAACTGATTCAGCGATTACTTATAATTAAAACAGATTTATACTTGTATATATTTCAAAATATACTTTTAGGTATGACACATGTTTTAATAGTATTAAAAAGAGGTATAGTTTATATTGTGTAAACCAAAAAATAAATTTTTTGTGGTTTCTATTGCATTTGGTTGCGTTTATAATCCTATAGGTCCGTATCTGTAGAGTAGTTGAAAATAAATCAAACACAAATTATTTTTTTTCATTTCTGAAAGAAATACTTTATTATGATACTGTTTTTCACAAGTCAAAGATATTTTTCTTTAGTTCATCAGATACATATCAAATAAAATAGTCTATAATCTTCAATGCAATTGAAAGATTTCTCCGACTTCTAAAGACTTGAGCAAAAATCAGTATCCTATATATTTCATATATAGTTCGAGAAAATCCTATATAAATGGTGGTGATCAATTCCTATATATTCCTACATTTCCATAGAGTGACGCTACGAGACCAGATCCCAATTTCAGATGCAGTAGAACGAATTTCCATCACTACTATCATTGTTGGGCCTTTCAAGATGCCATTACTTTTTCGAAAAAAAAAATTAGGCCAGAAAACTTTCATGCATGATAAACAAAAATAGAGAAAATAAGTTATGATCAAACAAGCAACATTAGGTATATATCAATACAATTAGCATTGTTTATCGCATACACGATTATTCCCGATTGACAATCCATGATATATTTCAGTATTCAGAAACAGTCAGACTTTACTATAGTGGTCAACCATCTGAAAGCTAATTAGAAATCTAGATGAATGTATCATAGAAATGAATCTTTTAGACTTCCACTAGTTTTATCGCATTCTATTCATGGAAAAAATATCAACTTGATTAGTCTGTTACATTTAGAAAATTTCCATTGTTACATACAGATATTGATTCAAATCATGATAATCATAAAGAAATAACTTATCTTTTAGTAAATCTATTTATATATCATTTAAAGTTTATAGTTTGTTCAACATATAATACCATACCAGGCAGTCAAATTGCTAAAAACTCTCAGCAACATTGGTTTGTTTCAATGTACCAATAAATAGTGGCCAGAGTTTTGGTACGAGAAATATGATCGAGTATGAATAGGTGAAAAATTACAATCTTAACCAGTTTCAAAATGATGAAGAAACAGCACATGTAAATATCAAAGAGACTTTATTCAAGAAAATGAAAATAACAAATACAAATAAAATTAGATATGAAAAATCAAGTCAACCATCAAAGGGTTATTCTCTGTTAGGTTAACATGATTATACAAAATTTCATATAACTCGGTAATCGTGATTGGCAATTATTTGTTTCACTTCATAATTAAAATAAATATGTTCGATTTGTTATTGATTATTTCATAATTTTTTAAAATAATGAAGGATATTATAATGATACTAAGAAACGTTTTAGATTCAGAAAATAAAACAAATAGAATATATGAAATTTTAACAGAACTTTTAATTACATCATGTCTAAGTGTGTTGGCGATGTTTGCTCAAGATCATTTCACAAAAATAGATTCAATTTTAGAAAAACAAGTGGATATATTTGTAGCATTTTTAACATCAGATGCATATGCATTGACAAGACTAATTGATGTCGCTCTATTAAATTCGTCTATTTGTACTTTAAAAGACCATTTTACTTTGACTCTTATTATAGTAAGCTGATTATAAGAATAAATATTATCAGATCAAATTTTCCTTGACTTAATCTGATGTACGCTTAAAGTAGTGAAACATTTTAAAAGATAGTATTATTGTTTTCTTTTTGTACTTAAATAACTTTGATGCTAACTTTAAATATCAAGATTTACACTTTAGTCTGTTAAAAAAAATCAATATGCACTGTTGACATAAATGTCTTTGATGATAATTTAATGGTGCACAGGATTATATAACAGGGTATAAAACTGTTCGCTTTATTGAAGTTCAGCATATTCTGTACTCACTCTCCTACTTTTTTTTTCTGTCATTAGATGAACGAGATAAACCATGTGCAACTCCGTTTTTCTTTGAAAAATTAATTGCATTACTTTATTGATGCTTTTAAATGGATTTATTTATCATGCCATTGAAATGCATTGAAAATTAAAAGATCTAAGGCAATTAAGTTGATAAAACATTTAATTTCGTATATATTTGCGTGTATTTCCACTCGCTGTCATTTTTAGAATAAACCAAAATAGAACTTAAAAGACATTGTACGATGTGCGCAATTATTGTGAGAGAATCTATATTAATGAGTATACTGTTTCAGAATATAGACAATATTCATTCTTATCCGAGAAATATGGTCATGCTTCAGATTATCGGTGCAAGAAACTATACATTTGAACTATGTATGAAATGAGGAACCGTTGCCGACCTGTGAATATTAATATTTTTCACAAAAATAACTAATTTCTTTTTTGGTAACTATCCCTCAGAAACGTGAGCAAGATTCGAGGCACCGATTAACGGAATGTTTTGAATATGTAATGCCAATGTTCGCTATTTGTTTCATCTGTTAGTCAATGTAAAATACACTATTTTCACACATTATTGTATCATACATCTAGTTAAAAAGAAATTCATAAATATTTTCTTCACAAAATTAAGTTTTTATTTACAAATTCGTTATAAATTTTAACTCTCTGCGACAGTTATCAAATACAAATATAAGAATTATTCTCTCATTATTAGTTATCTTATTAACTTGCTAAATACATTACTTTGATGACGAGTGTAACATCTGACGAATGAATGTATGTCTTGAATGCTTCATCACGCTCCCTATCTTCTCGAAAGTCTATCGATGTTCCTCAGATAAACTTAATTCTCTTTTTATAGTAGAAAACAACATCTTTTTATACAGAAAATATTAAACGTATTAGAACTCGAAACATTCTTTAGATCAACTTGCTAAGTGTTTTGTTTTTTGTTAAGATTTTATCGACATATTCATTACAAATGTTAAACATCACTGATTCTATTATATCTAATCATGATGCATATTGGTATACAACTATCACTCTCCTCAATCAAAATATCTCAAGATATGGTATGAGTATTATATGGCTTATCGGAAATATTGGATCAATTATCAATTGTTTTATCTTTTGTCAACCAAATCTTCGCAAGAATCCATGTGTTATGTATTTGTTAGCTTCTAGTGCTTCTCAATTTTTTACTCTCAATTTGGCTCTTCTCTCAAGAATACTCTACATGGGTTACAATATACAAGCAGTTAATACATTACTTTGGTATTGTAAATTTCGCTATTATTTTTTCTATATTTTTGTTGCTATTCCACGTTATTATATAATTTTGGCATCGATCGATCGTTTTTTTGCTAGTTGTTCTGATATTTACTGGCGTCGATGGAGTTCATCAAAAGTTGCTATGAGATTAATCATTAGTAATTTTTTATTTTGGTGTTTAATTTACATTCATGTTCTTGTGTTCTATGAAATTCAAAATAATAATTGTTCATTTAGAAATGGTGTTTATGGTATTTTCTTTAGTGTTTATCTATCGATTGAAAGTGGAATTTTGCCACCATTAATAATGTTCATTTTTGAATTTCTTACACTGAAAAATATTCGAAACAGTAAACGAAGAACAAGACCATTAACAATAGTTAATGTTTCTCAAACGGAACAATTGACTAGACTGTCAAGAAGAGATTTACACTTTTCAAAAATGCTACTTTATCAAATATGTCTTTGGATTATTTTAAACATTCCCAATCCTTGTTACCTTCTTTATCAAACAATAACAATATATGATACCAAATCACTTCTACGTTTGACAATTGAATCATTTATTAGCAATATGAGTTATTTTTTAATTTATATTGAATTCTCATTAACATTCTTTGTCTATATTTTGTCATCATCATTATTCAGACGTGAATTGAATCAATTAATTCGAAAGAAATTATTACGCCGTTTTTCTACAAATATAACTCTCACAAATAACACATAATTGGAATAATTATCTAAATAACTATGGCATTCTTCTTGAGATATAACTAATGTTGATGTTAAATATCGTTCATTGTATTGTCATTGTTGTGCGTTATCATGCCAATTCTTTCCCATTTGTCTATCTTTGATTATAAAATAAAAATTAGATGAATAGAGTAAATTCAAATCAGTTATGTTTATAAGAATTCAACTGAAATCATAATTCTTGAAAAAATGAGAATTAGTTTTCTCAGTTAATGACATGATGATGAACGTGCTATAAGTACAGTTAATTGTGAAATGTACATATCATCTAAGACATATTTAACATTGAGATGAAACAATATTAGTTCATTAATGTTGATGATAACAGTTGGACTGTGATCTCTTCATCGTTAGATAAATGTTTTGTGATAATTGACTAATCTTTGTCTATTCTAAGAATCTTGTAAAGCATAAATTTTATCACATGTTTGAATATACAAAATAAAGAAACTCTTCTTCGATTCAATGCATATAATTTCTTGTTAAGATTAAGATTTCTTCTACACAAGAAATCAAATTCTAATTAAATGCTATTTTCTCTGGTAGCAATCAAAGGGAAAAAACTTCGAATTGGAGATTTCATAAGCTATTCTTTGGCATTCAAATCAAGCCGTTATTTCTTTTTTTCAACTGACAATATCAACAATTTTGTCTGTATTTATAATCGATATTATATCTGCTGTTTATGATGATAAAAAGTAGTTTTCTTTGGGAGATTGATAATTAATCGAATATCAGCTGTGACAACCATGAATAGTTTCAATTGATCTATGCTATGTACTCAAATAGAATATATTCAAAACAGACCATTCTTTTGTCACAGTTGCAAAGAGTTCATAAAACAAATAAACACGATAAATAACAAAAAATAGTATTCAAATATGATCAAAAAGCAAGAATTAGATGAAGAAGTAATTATCTGATGTATGAAATATGCATGAAGCAATTCATACACATAAATATATAGATATACAGATGCGGTTGATCAGCCTGATTAAATTTCTTGATGAGTTTTTAACATTCAACTTCTACAAGACATGAAAATAATATGATATTTTTAATCTGTAATAGTGCTAATATATTGTTGATGACTCATGATAATTTGGATTATCAATCATATTCGAAAACAAAATAATTAAGCGTTTACGTAAAGTTTTTCCAATAACAAGTGTAAATTATAATGAATAAACAAGTTTGATAACAGTATGTCTCAACAAAAATGTGACGGAGATTTATAAATATTTTGTAGTAAAACAGACATATAGATTCTACATATTCTAGAAGTAGCATGTTAATAAAAAAGAATTAGACTATTCTGTCAGAATTGTTAGTCCTGCATGAAAAGATATGAAGGGAGTATTACAGCGTAAAAAAATCATCATTGATTTTTTTTTACAAACATTTATACTATGAAACTGGTTGCAATATCAAGCAAAAAACCTCGTTGATATTGAACGGATACAACTATATATTTGACAGAACTTGCAATAAGAAAACGTATTTGAAATACGAATATTCTCGAACGATAGTATTTATACTAAGAGTTCCTATAGAATTCAACAGTACAACGGTTTCATTCGAAAATTCTGATAATAGTCTACCTGCAAACGTTACATCCAACGATATTATTCGTTCTCATGTCACTTTTCTCATTTATATTAACTTTTTTTGATTAATTCTATTTCTTAATATGCTATTAAATTTTATAGTAAAGACTAGACCTATATGAATTATGCTATAGCATCGATGTATCACATAAACAAAGATTGAGAAAGTACTTTCCTTTCTTCATTTTTATTTTTTAGTACTAAAACAAATCAGTAACGTTTATTTTGACAAAAAAATTAAAAATTATAATTTTGTTTATGATTTAAACTATTTGATTTTACATCCAATCAACTTGAACAATTTGATCGTCCATTGTTAGAATCATACTGTATTTTCGTACAATAAGAAAGAACCTTTTTATCTGTTATGTAACTAAGATAAATATTTTTATCTTGAAAAGTATGCTATAAATATTTCATATATAAATAGTGGCAATGTCTATCGTCAATAGATTAATTTTTGGTACTTAGGAATCGTTACAAATGAACAACTTATATCAGAAAATACAATTTCAATTGATTGTAAATATCATATTAAATATGCAAAAAAAAACATGGTGCTCATGTATCACCGGCTGTCTTTGTGAATGGATATAAACAATCTAAGAATGATTCTCGATAGACTATAGAACAATGGAATGCTTATCTTGACAAACTTCAGTGCTAGCTTCTAAAAAGAAGACTATACAGAACCGGTTTTTTTAACAAAAATTAAATTAGAAGATAGAACTAGATTTTTTTTAAAATAAAAATCAATAAATTAATTTGAATTTGTTTTCTACTTGGCATTACTAATAATCATTAATTTCATGTGGCATCATATGACTAAACGTATTAATTTTCAAAGTCAATATTGCGATCTGAATAGAAATAATAAAGTATAAGCGAAAAACCGGTCAGCACTTATATACAACATGGTTCAGAGTGAGGAAAGGCAACATTTTTTTTTGAGTTTATCTCTCTACATGATAATAAAATCTCTTATTTTGTAGCACATATTGGAGATAGTAGCAGTCAGAAGCGTAGTATATTATCAGTTTCTGAGTTCAATAGTTTCTTTCAAAAACACAAGTGTATCTCGTATATTCCTATGTGACTGAAACAGGAATCATTGCTTCCTTATCGAATTCGATGAGCACTTTTCGTATGATTGTACTGATTTCCAGAATTAAACCATATTTGTATTAGATGAATCCTAGATTTTGCAAATCAAGGAAAAAAAATCAAAGGTATTCAGTGCCAATCATCATTGACTAACTCCTTCTTCTAGGTTAATATTTTGCGAGCTATTCTCATTGATGCAAAAACCAAAATAAATAATGAAAAAGAAAAGTCATCAATATTTTGCAACTGATCCTAAATAAATATTGTAAGTAATTAATTTTTGTTTTTTGTTTATTCAAATGAAAGAAACTAATGATTAAGACTAAACATATGGGTGCGACCAACTAGTAGGAGGCCCCATTTTGATACACTCCTATTGTAAGGATAAAACATACTATTGTTCGGATCATATAAGAGAGGATCCTAGATAACCCTAGATTGGCTGGAACAACATCATGTTTAATCCGTACAATAGTAGAGACGAACTACTAGCTTATCGTGTGAGTTGGTAGCTCTTCTCTACTATTGTACGGATTAAACATGATGTTGTTCGGGCCAATCTAGGGTTATCTAGGATCCTCTCTTATATGACCCGAACAGTACTATGTTTTATCCTTACAATAGGACTGTATCAAAATTGGGCCTCCTGCCAGTTGGTCGCACCCATATCAAATAAACAAAATTTTGAGTTTTTATTTTTGATTTATGAATATGAGTCTCACTATAAGACAAGTTAATGTTATGTTTCATTTTGTTCTTTTTCTTCCTATCGGGTGTGATCGTTGTACACAGTTCACTTGTTTTATACACCATTTCAATCTTTTTTTTTTGCTTTATTCTTTTATTCACCTTTTACTCTTTATTCATTTCTAGTTGAACTTAGTTGCATAGTTGTCCGTTGTCATAGAGATCAATAGTTATTTAAATATTGAATAGAAGACATAATACAATTTATTCGACAGTAATATAATGGAAGAAGATAATAAAATGATAACCTTGACATCTTCAACATCGTTCATAGCGGAAATAATGTTGATTCTTATGGGTTTAAGTGGTATTTCAGTAGTTGGTGTTAATATAGGTTATTTTCATTCTTTATCTCTTCTTGTTGTCACTCTTGGCTTGTTAATTGGTATATTAGCAACTATTATTTGTATTATTGGCATTTATGTTCTTTTATATCATGATTATTTTCGTTTAAAATTATTTTTAAAATTTTTGGCTCTTTTTATTGGTCTTCAATTATGTTTTATTATTCATTTATATTTTTTTACCAATCATGATCATACTAATGAACAACAAGGTTCATTTATTGCATTAGATGTTTGTTGTGGATTGAGTGCAAGTACATTAATTGCTGTTGGTTTTCATTTAAAACAAAAAGGATCAACTATTGAAATGTTTAAATTATAATCAATTGAATCTTCGTCTTTTTCTTTTCATATATCAAATATATATCAATAGAACTTTTGTGTTTGTGTGACTTGAATATTTTGAATGTGTTTAAATTAGATATTCTTCATTGATTTAATTCACAGTTCTTGTTTGCTTAATATTGTGCAAGTTCGTAATAAATTTCTGTCTATGAAAAATATCTTGTTCTTTTTTTTTGTGGTCTTTCACAAATATTTTATAATTGATCTTAATGATATATTTGATGTTATCGACAAGAAACAAGATAATCTTGAAAGAAGTAAAAAGTTAATCATTATCTTGTTAGTTTGATATGTTCAGTGGAAATATGATATGATGATGAGAATACGTTTAACTTTTTCCATTCATTTTCAAATTTTGATTAAGAACTTCGAAAAAGTATTAGAATAATCATTTGTGTTATTCAGATTTCTTATTAGAATGTATTATAAATACAAAAACAATCAAATTCTTTCGAGAAAACTTACAAAGCATTTTCGATGAGATTAAAATTTGTTAATAGAAAGTTTATTCTTTATTTAAAGCCAACCTTATTGTTTTGTTTTCAAATTCATTAATTGTGTAAGTGTAACAACATGAAAAGCCCGTTTTTGTATAGCTGGTAAAACTCTTTGTAATGTTTCAATAGTCGCTAATCGATCATGTAGTATAACAATAGCACCACTATACAATTTATTTTCAATAAAAAATGAATTAAGTCTTGAATTAGGTATTTGAGGATCATATGGATAAATTGAACCTAATACAAGTCGATAACCTAGATTAGTACAAATCTGTATCATTGTTTGATTAAAAAATCCTGAACCTGGTCGAAACCATTTTGTATTCAATGAAGTATATTTATTAATTGTTTTTTCTGTATTAATTATTTGTTGTTCAAGTTCTTCTCGTGATAGACGTATTGCTTGTTCATCACGCCAACCATGATTTCCTATTTCATGACCGTCAGCTATTAAACGTTCGAATAATTTTCGTATTTGTGATGAACTCTCATATTTTTCTATATGTGATCCGATAGTAAAAAATGTACATCGTGCATTATACAAACGAAGTATATCAAGTAAACGAAAACTTATTGAAAGATCATTTATATTTGGAAAATCATCAATAGTAAGTGCAATATATTGTAAATTTGATGGTAAATCAATATGAAATAAAACATCAGGATAAAATTTTGAAAGTGAAAATATTATAAATCGAGGTGGTGAATAAATTATAAATGTTAAAATTATAATTACACTTAAACAAATAATAATCGGTATTAAATATAACATTTTTTTAATAATTCGTATTATTATATAACATTTTTTAATAAACATATCATTAACCTAAATATATTTAAATACAGAAGAAGATCAATAATATCATTCTGGTTTATTGAAAATATTTAATCAAATCGAAAAAAAAAAAAAAAAGATAATATACAATTTTAATAAAGACAAAACAAATAAAACGAATAGATTTTTTGTCAAATATATTCTATTATATTATAATATAGATGTGTCTAATTGATGATTCGTTGTTGTTGTCGATTGTATTGATTGAAAAAAAATTTTTCGTGCCATATTTATTTCATATAGAAGTTCAAAATCAGCAAATGATGTAGCTCGACTTGTTGATGAATGATCTGATACAATTGTTGTTTGATGATTATTTATTGGTATTGTTTGTGATGTTCGAGAATTAGCAAGTACAACTTCTTCTGCTGTATCATTAACAATAAACTATAAATTAAACAACAACAAAAAAAAAAATTATTTGAAAAAATAAATTATATTATTGAACATACTCGATAAACATATGTATTATATTTTTGACCAAGTCGACGTACACGAGCAATTGCTTGTAATTCAACTGATCGATGAATTTGAGGTTCAACAAGAATAACATGTTGAGCTTCAGTTAAATTAAGACCATTAGCTCCTAAATATAATATTAACACAATAATAATAATAGAATTATTTAAGAAATATCTATTTGAATACCTTTGCCAAGTGGCATAAGAAGAACAGTTATATTAGGATCTTGTCGAAATTGTTGAAGAATTTTAGTTGATGTAAATTGTAAATATGAAATAGCATTAAGTTTAAGTGAAATAGCTAAAACATTGAGTACATCTGTAAATTGTGAAAAGACAAGAATTTTTAATGGTGGTTTTGAATTATTATTCATTGTTGTTATTGTAGTAATAGATGTTGATTGTTGAATATCATCATTAAGAAGATTAAGTATAAATGAAACAATCGAATCAACTTTTGTACCATAACGACCTTGAATTGTTAAAAGTTCTTGAGTTTCCATTAAACGACGAAGACGTGAAGATGAAATATCATCCGATATAGAATTTTCTATTGTTGTTTTTTGTGGTGATAATGATGATGATGATGATGTAATTATTGTTGTATTTTGATCTCGCCATTTAAGAACTGTTAAAGAATTAATTGGAATTTCTCGACGACCTAGAATATAGAAAATATTTTAAAATAAAAATTACATAATATAACGAATAAAAAAAAAATCACATACAAATAGGACATTTAATATGTGATCGATGTGGTCGTTGATCTATTTCATGTTTTTTCCATTGTAATGTACATTCATGACAAAAGAAATGTCCACATAAAAAAAAACAAACATCAGGTCTATCATCACCAAATAATTCATGACACATAGGACATTTTGTTCGTTGTGATGATATAAGATTTGTTGTTGCTATTGAATGATAATAATCTTGTTGTTGTTCTTGAAAATAATTAAATTGTTGTCGATGTTTAATAACTTTTTTTAAATAATCTAATGCTTGTTGTTCAAAATCTAAACGTTCATCTTCAATTATTTGAGAATTAAAACGATAACGATTATAATGTTTTTTTGGACGAGTTTTTATATCACCAATATAATATTCAAGACGTGATGTACATTGTAACATTTCATCTAATGATAAATATAAATGTTTTAATTGTTGAGAATATATACGTGCTGATGTATTTTCTAAACGAAGTTTTTTAAGTAAATCATTCCAATCTGTTCGTAATAATTTAGCTAATTGACGTGTTGATTCATGAGAACGCATTGAAGCTTTTGATAAGATTTCATTTATAAAATAAATTAAATGTGTACCACCATCATCATTTATTTGTTTATCAGAATATAATTCTGGTTGAAGACTACAATAAAAATTATTTACATAGAATAATATTAAAATATTATTTAGATGGAATATCATCAAATTTTTCTCTGATTATGTAATTTAGATGAATTCTCATGAAAATATACTTTGTATGTTCCCATGTCCTTTGAATCGGCTAAAAATTGCCGATTAATCCCGATTCATCGAAACGATAGTCGTGAGCTGAATCGCCGATTATTTCAGCGATTTTTACGATAAATCGTGATTTTATGCAAGATTTAACCGTCTGTTTACTGATATTTTCTACTATTTCATTGGTTCTTTTGGAGACACATATTTGGATTTTTTCTTGAATTTAATTCAAATTTTTTTGTTCTCAAGATCCAAGCCGATCAGATCGTGCGATCTGTCCGATTCTTATCAGACCGCTTCAATGTAGTCCTCTCCAGATCATGGATCGGGATTGGCATTTCCTTGATTAAAAATAACCAAGAAATAATTTATCAGAAAAGTATATTTCGAAAACTTATTTGTTATGTATTGAACGGCGTTGTTTATATATCCGTGTGTGTTCATAACAAAACGGTGAATGAATAATTATCATGATTTATCAATGATTTTTGAAAATCCGCTCTTCTGCCATAATCGCGATAAAATCTGATATAATCGTCGATCTTTTAAAGAAATACGATAAATTACGATTTTGCGCCAATTTTTTAGAAAATCGCGGTGATTCTCACGACATGGGTTTGGTCATGATAAATCTATTCGTGAATTTCAAGACTATTTCAACTGATTGATGAATAGAAAATAATGGAAATTGAAATCTTGAATTTATTTGAATACTATTAGATCAGTTTGTCTTTGCAAAATTCGATTATCTCTTGTTATTTCTTAAGAAAATAAACTAAACAATTACTTGCATTCATACTATTAACAATTTGATCAGCAATTTCTTCGGAATATCAAATGCAGTAAAAAATCATTTTGAATCAGATTACTATTTTCAATATTACAGATATATACAAATTTATCAAATTTACTTTCTCGAGGAGTCATGAAAGATAATAGAGACAAAGAATATCAACTCTTCTCATAAAAGACAATAATAATTGAAATGATATAAATAAGTAGTTTTTCTTTTTTAATACTTTCATCTTCAACTTTTTCCATAGACTTCAAGCAAATCTATAAGAATGAGTACTTTTATAAAATATTATTTTTGTGTACTGATAATCTAATATGAAATTTGTCAAAAAGCAAAATAAACTCTTCGTTATTTAAATGAGAAGAAAAAAAAACACAAAGTAAACTTCTCCTAAAATTTATTCTTTGAATATTTTATTATTTTTTTTTGTCTTGTAAAAATTGATATAAATTTTTATATACCTGCAATTATAACTTTTCATAACAATATCACATTCACAAAATATACAAATATTTTCATTTGATAAATCATTATCTAAACCACATTTTGAACATGCAGCCATTTTTGCTACATCATCATCATTTGGTTGTCGTTTAAATGCTTCAATATAAATTAATAAATTTTCACGAATTTGTTTTAATTTATCAAATTCTTGAACTAATTTTAATAAAAATCCATTCCATGTTGTAAATGGTAATTGTCGTTCACGATTAACATGATAATGTATATCAACTTTTTCATTTTCAATTGGTTTAATACATGTTGATATATCTATAAGTAAATTTTTAATATCATTTTCAACATCTTTTTTAATTAATAATTTTTCATTAAAATTTTTCCATGCTTCACTCATTTCATGTTCAGATTGTGTTTGATGTCGTTGTTTAATTTTATTAAATTCATTTAATGTTTCATCACTTGAAAATTTACTAAAAATTTAAAAAAATTTTATTTAGATAATAAAAAGAAAAATAGATTTTTTAAAATATATGTTTTTTTTTTTTAAACCTTTGAATATTCATATTGAAATTTTCATTTTTTGTTAATAATGAAATTGAATATGAAAGATTATAATAAGCATGTGCTAATTGAAATGAATCAGCATGAAAATGTTCTTTATAAATTTCAGATGTTTCAATAACTCTTTCATATGTTTGTATAGCTTTAGTAATATAATATTCATTATTTTTATTATTATTTTCAATAATAGGTCGAGTTATTTCATGTTCATATTGTATAAGATAAATACTAGCAAGACCATTAAAATTAAGTAATGAAAGACGAAGACAATCTTCTCCACTTTCAAGTTCACGTGCTGTTAATAAATCAAGTAAATCTTTCATTGTAAATGGTTGATCATCTTTATTTAATGATGAATTTGTTTCTAATAAATTTGTTTGACGTCGAACAGAAAAATTTCTATTCGATGAATAATGAAAACGATTATAATAATGAACAAGTGCTGGATCATTATGTCTTGAAAAGAATACTTTATTTCTTTTGAAATTATTAAAATTCTTATTTTTTTTTTTTTACCTAACACCATGTGCACCAACTTGTGGATGATCACATAAACAACGAAGTTTTATTAATGGTGTTTGAAGACAAGTACGAGCTGTTGATGATAAAAAATGAATATCATTCATATCGATTTCACTATCAAATTCTAATGTCCATGTTGTAGGTTGTTCTGGTAAAATTCCACCTATTTAAATAAAGAATTTCATTGATTCAGTATGTATAAGTCGACAAGATAATGTGTTAAGGGCTTGTTGAATTCAAAAGACTCTAGCATAATATTGATAAAGGTATTTAGATAAAAGTTTTGTTGATTTTCTCAAATAAATAAAATGAAGAGAAATTAAAAAAAAACAAAAACATCCCAGGAGATTCAATCCGACCTGTAGACTCGATCGAAAACGATCGGGTCCGCCTCGGATTTCACCGGAATCCGACATTTTTCATAAAAAAACGATCGGATCCGGCAAGGTTTTTGTCGGATTCCCATCAGCCGGATTCCGGTCCGGATTTCATCGGAATTCGACGGAACACGATGAAATCCGGGCCGGATCAGGTCGGATTTTATCACGTTCCGTCGAATTCCGATGAAATCCGTACCGGAATCCGGCTGATGGGAATCCGACAAATATAGGACCGGATCCGACCGAAATTATTCCGAACTGGCGAGATCCGACTGGGGTCGTTTGACCTGGGATAGTGTAATTTATTATGTCTATTAGATACTATCTTAGATTTGAATACAATTAATTACCATTTCTTTCTTTTTCTCTTTTTTGCCATAAATGTTGAAATTCTCGTTTAAATTCATCTCGACATTCATTCCATATTCGATCATAATATGTTCTTTCAAGTTGAGAAAATTGTAATCCTATTACACGTTCTAAAAATATTCGATAAAAAAATAAAATGAATTTATTATTTTTCAAAGATAAGATTTATATATATATATTTAAATCTATTATTACCATATTGTTCAGGTAAATCATTTAAACATTGACGAGATGTTCGTCGAGTTATTAATTTAAGAAAATTCATTATCCATGATAAAAATACATCATTTATTTTATCTTTTTTTCTTAATAATAATGATATTTGATCTCTTGGTATACTAGTTAATGGAAATAAATATTGAACTATTCCTTCAAGATCATTTATTGAACAATGAAATGGTGTACCAGTAACAAACCTTAATAAAAAGAAACAACTCATCTATTTTAGCAATAAATTAAAATTATTTTACCATCGATAATGTGCTACAAGTGATCGAGCCATTTTAGATGCCGGTGTATTTGGTGAATCAACCCTATATTAATATTTATTAAGACTAATTAAAAATTTTAATATATGCTAAAGAGATATTTGTTTTTAGATATTTTAAGTATCATAAACAATCAAAGATTTCTCATTTTGTTTAAAAAGGATTGAATAAGTAATATTTGAATGATATAAAAATAAAACATTTTTTTGATATTTCATTAATAATAGACTTGAAGTATTTATCTTCATAAACAATAGTCAATGACAATGTGACTTGATTCACTTAATTCATATAAATTTAAATTCCGATCTAGATTCTATTGAATCTGTATCTATGATCAAAATCTTTGAACTCTACAGGAATAATGTCAATGATGAATTCACATCTAAGAACTAGATTTTTTGTTGAAATATCATTTTTTTCAATTCCGTACTAGTTTTAACTAATAGGATCAGAAATCCGTCATTTTCGTAGAACGTTACCTTGAACTTTCAGTAATCAAATTCAGATCTTTATAGATTCATTCTGTTAAACAATCCAACAAAATAGTTCGTATAACTTTTTATATAGTAAAAAACAATTTAAAAGAAAAAATCTCTTGTAATATTTTTTTTTAACTTACATTTGAGCTTCATCAAGTACTAAAAAAAAATAGAAGCATTAAAATCTTCCTAGAAAAAAAATATATATATATTTACTAACCAAGACGCCAAAATTTTAATCTTAATAATGGACTTATTAAATATTCATATTTTCGTACTTGTGTTCTTGTTGAATGATATTCTTTTGAACATATTTCATTATGATGTATATCTTTTTTTAAATTTTCATATGAACAAAATATAAAATCTTGTTTAGCAAGAAAATATCGATCAGGTATTGGTATTTTATTAACAATACCTTCATACATATAAATATTTAATGAACAATTTAAATGTTTATCTATTTCTTCAATCCATTGATCAATAATTGCTGCTGGTGCAATAATTAATGTAGCACCTGTTGATAATAATTGATCATTATTTGTTAAACGTTGTTCACAATAAGGACAAATAAATAATTGTTGATAATTTTCATTTTGTATGAAACATTTTTTATGTATTGAACGTGAACATTGTGTACAAATTGAAATTAAAGTTTCTGATAAATATTGTTGTCGTTTTGATAATTTTGCTATTTTACCACAAACACAAGGTAAATCTAATTGTTCATCATATTTAAATTTTTTATTTACTGGTAATTCATTATTATTATTTAAAATTGTTTGATTTATATTAATTAAATTTTCTGAAACAAATAAATTTGAACATTTATTTAATAATGATGTTAATAATACACATATTGTTTTTCCAAGACCCATTTCATCAGCAAGTATTCCACCAGATAATGAAAATTGTTCATTATGATAATGATTTATTTCATTGATATGTAATGGTATACCATATATAATATGAACATAAAATATATTATCAAATAAATCATGACAACGATGAAATGGTGTATAAACAATTGATGATGATAGATCTTGTTCTCGTTTAAGCATCCAATCAACTAAAAAAGAAAAACAAATTAACAATGCATGAAAAATTATATAAGACATTGAATAGTCTAAGATTTTTGAAAAGTAGAATGATTATTGTTACTAAAATGTGTTTTCTATTGGGAAAAATTCAAAAAAATATTTTGAAAAAAAGGAAAAACGATTGTATTAGAAAATTTTCTTTTATTTTGTTTTACTTGATTTTATTTGATGATCTTTTAATTGAATAATATCATTTTTTAAAAAAGTTGTAGATAAAGATGATGAATAATTATTATCAATATTAATCATTGTTGTTGCTTGAATTTCTTGATAAATAAAATCAATAATATTATTAGCATTTGTATCATTATTATTCATTTCTAATATTGATTGATAATCATCAAATGCAAATAAATGTTTAAAAAATTGATTTGTTTTATCATTTTCTTTACAATAATTATAAAATGTAAATAAACTAAATGTTTGTTTTTTATTTTTTGATAAAATTAATGAATATACAAGTGTTAATGTACATTGTTTTGATGAATAATATATATATAATTGTTCATTTTTAATTAAATCATATAACCATTTTAATGGATGAATTTTATTTTTTAAATATATATTTTCATCATTATTAGAAAATATAAATGGATCATGAAGAAATATTTCTTCTGTTAATAAATTTATATTCCAATGTTCATAATAAAGTTCAGCTAAATAAATTAAATTACTATCAATTGAAACAATATCACTATTGATATATGATAATGGATTTGTTTTAATACCATCATATGTTAGTAATGGGTCAATTTGACTATCTCGAAGATGATATTGATTACTACGTCGACTGCGAGGCATTTGACAAGAAGAAATTCTATGTTTCAATTTATGTCGAAAAGCAAAAGTTGAGAACTCTATCCAATATTGAAGAATTGGTAAACTATGGATGCACTCGAAACCATATGGTAACTTGTCAAAAAAAAAGCGAAAATGTTCGATGTGAAAAAAAAGAAATTCTATTTAGATCAGTTGTATTTCAAATATTTTTTTCTTGAAGATTTTCTAGATGGCACTAAATGATTGTAAAAATATGTTGAAAAAAAGAATTTTCTTATGACAATTGTTGGCTGCTTAATAACAACAATAAAGAGTGATTGATCAAAAATAGACGAGTCTTATTATATTTGTTGTATCTCTGTAGTTGTTTATGAGTTTAATTATTCTAAGCAATAATATATATATTCAAATATCAAATAAATATTGTTCATGAATACTACAACAAATAGAACAAAAACGACTTTCGTTTTCATATTCAGATATCTTTTTATTAATCAAAAAAGATATACAGAAAAATAATCTACTTTCTAAAATTATTTCAAAGAAATTTATGACTTCTAGTTTTTTTTTTATTTATTTTATTCTTGAAGTTGAAATCGCATTGATAAATCAATTGCCTTAATATCTTTTGTCAAAGTGCCCATTGCAATATAATCTATTCCAGTTTCTGCTACTGCACGTAATGTTGTTTCATTAATACCGCCGGATGCTTCAAGTTTAGCACGTCCATTATTGATTTGAACTGCTTGACGCATTTCATCTAAATTCATATTGTCTAATAAAATCATATCGGCGTTAGCATTGAGTGCTTCTTGTAATTGATCAAGATTTTCAACTTCAATTTCAATTGGTTTATTTGATGCAACTTTACGTGCACGTTTAATAATTGTTTCAATATTATTATGACATGCAGCTAAATGATTTTCTTTTATAAGAAAAGCATCATAAAGTCCAATACGATGATTATAACAACCACCTTGTGTAACAGCATATTTTTCAGCAAGACGTAAACCTGGTATTGTTTTACGTGTATCACGTAGTTTAACATTAGTTCCTTGCACTAAATCAGCATAATAACGACATCGAGTAGCGACACCTGAAAGTAATTGAAGAAAATTAAGAGCTGTTCGTTCACCAGCAAGTAATATTTGAGATCTTCCTATTAATGTACATAAAATATCATTTGGTTGTACATGATCACCATCTTTTACATTCCATTTTATAGTTACATTAGTAGAATCAAGTTGACGAAATACTTCATTAAACCATAATGTTCCACAAATAATAGCTGCATCACGAGTAATCACAGTAGCATTTGATATTTGTTCGAATGGAATAAGTTGTGCAGTCACATCACCATCACCAATATCTTCTTCTAAAGCACAACGTACATCTTTTTCAATCGATAATTGAGTTATGGTTATATTTTGCATCATAGATTTTTATTATCGATATAATATGAGTCCAAAGAATGTATATGATCAATTCACATTCTTCTGTACCTGTATTATAAATTGATGACGTGACGAAGATAGATGGTATATGTATATATTTTTCTATACATTGGTATACAGACAGAGCGGACGAACAAAGAGCAAAGACGAACAGTTTCTTTTTTTTTTTGTCTTCTTTTTTTTTATGTCATACTTTTTTTTCCTTCCTGTTTTCTTCGTCATCTTGATCAACAAAAAGAAAACGAAGTGGACTGACGATGACTCGTATAGCAAGCGACTGAGTAATGTAATAAACACCCCCGTCTCTCTTCGTACATCGATCGACTCATAGCACGAGGTTGCGATAATTGTAGGCGTCAGAGAGAAAAAAAAAAGAGAAAAAAAAGAAAATATTCACAAACATACATCTACCTTTTGGTGACGTTAAGAACGCAAAGAATAATCATTTTTTGTTTTTTATTGATTTTCTTTTTTTTCAAAATCAGTACGTCATCAATTAGAATCTTATATAGAAATGCAACCGATATTTCATTATTCATCACCAGTACAACAACAATCTCAATCAACTCAATGGATTTATGCACCTTCATTTTATAATGGTTATACAACAAGCGTACCTATTGTTCTAAATCAACCATCAACTGTCGTTCAAACTTATTTACCATCACTAGACCACCAACATCAAATAAATTCTCAGTTATCACCTGTTAATTCATCAACATATCCATCATCAATGAAACCTTATAATCGTTTTCGTAATGCATTTTCATGTTCTAATCAACAGCAAACAAATAATTCTGATGATGAATATCGTTATCATGAACAACAATTAAATCATAATTTAGCTAAACATGATATTGAACGATTACCAGTTAAAGGTGATGGTAATTGTTTATTTTATGCTCTTGCTGAAGGTCTTATGTATGAAATGAAAATTGATCCTCATGATTTTGGTTTACAAATGCATCGATTATTTCGTTTACCAACACAATTTCGTTTAGTTGATTTTGCCGATTGTTTAAGACAAATATGCGTAGATCAATGGAGATTACATGAAGATTTTTATAGTCAATTTGTTGATAAAGAAAAAGTCACATTTCTTAAAGAAGTTAAAAAATTTTCTAAAAATGGTGTTTCTGATTCAACATTAGGTGATATTGTACCATTAACTATTGCTAATACACTCAATATTACTATAACTATATTTACTTCAGTTTCAAATTTACCTCGTATCGATGTTAAACCTGAATATAAGAATAATTTATTATCATTAACTCAAAAGACAATCTATTTAGCTTATAATCAATATGGAGTAGGCCATTATGATGCTGCATATCCTCGTACTTGACATATATAAAATAAAATAAAATAAAATAAAATAAAAATAATCGTGTCTATTTTGTTATTTTTTTTTTCTTCTTTCACTTCATACAGGGACACATGTTCAAATTTTGTTTTTCTTTGTGTATTTTAGTGTTTTGCTTTTTTTCCTTGTTAGCATTAATCAAAAATGTCTGTTTCACGATATTGACACGAAGAAAAAAAAAAGAATATTATAAGGAAAAAAGAAAAATCAATAAATCAATACTAATAGTTTATCGTCGTCGTCGTCGTCGTCTTTGATCTGGATATCCGAATGCATAGAAACTGTCAATATCGATTCGTTGATCGTTAACTAAAAAGAAACAAAAAAATTAAAAAAAAAAAAAAAGTTTATATATTCGATAGGAGGATAATAATTTTATACCGTTTGGAATGTTTTTTGGTAGCATATGATCCATATTATATACCGAAGGAAACAAACCTACTGAATCTTGATCAACTATTGGTACAAACGATGAGTCCTTGGTATAAGATGAAGGAGAATTAAATCGTTTACCAAATCTATATGAAAAGAAAAACAATAAAAGAAATTAATTGAATAAATAAAAATTATATTTACCGAGGTCGAGCTATGATAGCATAATAATTATGTAATAATTTCCAAAAAAGTGCCTGCTGTTCTGGCGATGCATTTGATGGTGGTTTTTGAGGTGGATTAGGAAAACTAGCAGATGATGTTAATTGAAAAGATATGACAGAAAAAATAAGAAGATTGACAAATATTGTTAGACCAATCCAGTTCATTTTTTTATAGGACTATATCAAATAATGATGTAATAAGAAATTTAATGTCCTAAAATGAAAAGATTTTATTCAAAATTTTTTAAGTTCAAGTAAGACTTCAATTATGTCACCTACGGGGAAATTCCCTTGGATGTCCTCTTCCGATTTCAGTTATTTTTTTTGCCTATGAGAACTACATAGCGTTTTAATAAAAATTCGGAAACAGTAGAAACTCGTATTTTCGACTATATTGATCTGAAACTTTGCACATATACAGAACTCAGCTAGACTAGTTACTATCAAAAATATTCATACTTTATACCAGTGGTGTAGCCAGAAATTTTTGAGTCATGGACAATTCATTAGCCGAACTATTTTGAGTTACGGGCAGCTAAGGGCAACCGTTACGATTTCAAAAATATCTATGGGCAATAACTGTTCAAGCACTGCATAGCTCAATAAATCCATGGGCAATAACTTTTGGAGCTATGGGGAATTGTCCAATGACCCTACCCCTGGCTACGCCACTGCTTTATACACTCTCTATAGAAAAACATCTATATCTTGAAAGTCTCATATCTCGCAGAGGCTTTATTCAAAACTTATGAACTTTTATAAAGCAGCTCTATGAGTGCAAAACTTCAAATAGAAATTTGAAAATACGATCGTTCCGAAAACCTTGAGCATTGAGAAAATAGACATATTAAAAATTCAACAACTGAAGCAAATCTCAATAGGAACCTAAATCGTTTCAGAGTTTTTATTAGAATATTATGTAGTATCTCTAGACAAAAAAAAAATCATGCAAATCAGAAGAAGATATCTAAGAAGGTTCTCTCGTTGATTTGTCTACTTTATACATAATATAAAACTTAATTTGATGAGATTAAATTATCTTAAGTAATACATGGAACAAAAATATTATTGTCGATACAATGCTGAAAGATATTGCTTGATATTTTTAACTGTTTAAGCCTTGCCTATATCGAACTGTGTATTCAGATTTTTTCGACTATTTATTATTCAGTCACGACAATATTGTCTTAAGCTAATTCCCTCTTTCAAATATATATTGAAATTGTCTGCTAAAAGCTAAGCCATTCATAAATGTTGTCCTACTTACAGTTTCACAATTATGAATTATGTTATGATAGTAGACTTAATAATCTTTCTCGTATAAAACCAAGATAATATTAGAATAGATTAAACTTATAAAGATTTGCTCTCATTAGAAAATTCTTACATTCTGAAATATTTATTTTATGTTGAGAATTGTTACACCAGACGTACAGAATCTACTTGTATATATAAATGCACTTTGAGGAAAATATTTCAAATTTAGGAAAATTTAAATTAGCATAAGCTTTGTATACATTTTTTTGTAATTTATTTGCTAATAGAAAGTATAAAAATAGCTTGTACTTTTATTTAACTATACAATACGTTACTTTCTGAAATGAA